ATATATATATATATATATATATATATATATATATATATATACATATGTGGGCCCCACAAAAAATGTGGACCCACATTGGGATGCGGCTAGCGAATGGTAGTGTGCCGCGTCATCCCCTACAAGGCGGACAGTCTCCCACTCTGATAAATATTTGCCAACGGCAGCACTGAAAATAAAAAGGAATTAAAAAATCAGGGCAAATATTAAGATTTTGAAAGCTGGGGTTATTTATATGCATTGCTTCTCGTTTGCACTCATAAAAAAAGAGATATTTTAGACCTCTATATCCTTTCAAAGTATCCAAAGAGTATATTTGGTCTTTAAATTTTGAATATGGTATATGTATATCCCTCTAGATATTAAGATCTTCACGTATTTGATTATAAATCTTAAATATGTTTCTTTAATTAACATTCTTAAAAAAAAAAAAGGCTAACGCTAGCTAATTTCAGATTAAAAAAAGATGTATAAATTTCTATAGACTACTCATTATTTTATAGCCATAATAAAACCATAAAGGATAATAACATCATACAGAATTTTAATTAATAGTTAGATGAGAATATATATATATATATATATATATATATATATAAATAATATTTTATAAGGATCTATATACATATATATATATATATATATATATATATATATATATATATATATATATATATATATATATATATGATAAACTTAAATGTAGCTAGATAATAATAATAATAATAATAATAATAATAATAATAATAATAATAATACATGATTTTTTCTTAAAAACAATGAAAATTTAGGACAATTTTTTATAGCGATGCATAAACTTTCTTAAGGCAAATATAACAATCCTATATATTTATAGCCATAAATTTTATTTGGGTATAAAGCGGGCGTTACTAAATCGGATGTGCCGGCCGATATCAAGTCGCGAGTGGAACACACCAAGAAGCGGGCACGAAGCCGCCATCGGCGGTTTCTTCGCTTCTTTTGCTTCCCCTCTCTCGCTTCTGCTCCCCCAAATCTTCTCGGAGAAAAGATGGAGGCGACCTCTGACGGAGATCGGCCATGGCAGTCCTATCACACCGTTTACACCAACGCTAAAGCTGGTGATCTCCCCAACGCCTTCTCCTACTACCGATATCCCTTCATTTTCCTCTTGTTTGGTGTTTCTTTCATCGGGTTTCTTCGCCAGGAGATTCTGTGGTTCCGCTGGGCTTTTTAGTGCACTTCCTGTTGGGTCTTCCTTCTTTCCACGATCGACTGATTAGATTGTAATAGGCAGTGATCTGACGAAAACCCTAACCTCTTTCTTGATCTTTTCTTTTTAATGGAAGGTAAAACCAATCTTACGTTGGATCTAAATTAACGAATAGGACGGCCATACTTATAGTATGGTCTCTGATCGGTTGGAGACAAATGACCTGGATTACCCCAGTCTAGTCGAGATTCCAGAACATAAACATGGGTTTCAGCTATTCTATGTCCATTTCTGCTAAAATGCAATCTTTCCAGTTAACGACTTTGCGGGTAAATCCTGCCTTCACCTCTTACCCTTTGCAACCAGAAAAAAGAAGAGAGTGAGGTATTTTCTATGTCCTTGTAGTCAGGAAAAGCCTTTACTTCAGCTTTTGTTTTCAGTTGTATCTTGATTTATTTATATATTTTTCTTGAAGCACACATTATTGATGAGACAGAGCAACAGTTAGTTTTTCTTATAATTTCTCTGCGTAAGTGACTGTACTGTGGTTAGGTTTGACATTATGTTGGTGTCTTTTATTCTTTCATGAAGCTTATAATTTTGTAATTGCTAATTCACATGTTTTTCTTACTTGGCATCCATCATTGGGCTTGATATTCTTGTAGTACTTATGATATGACTAAGATCACGAGCTTGTGTATTCTGCTTCGGTTCTGTGATAATTCAAATGAAATGTTTTGTTCTTAATAGGGATGGAGGGGGTTGACAAAGAAAAAGTGCAGAAGATAATTTATGAACTGAGTAAAGGATCAAAATATTTTGAGAATGAGAAACGGAAAGAGGCGATTATCAAACAAAAAATAGACAATTTGCGTACTCACCATGCAAAACTTACAGAGAAAGAAATTTCACATTTTCAAATGGTATGTATGGATACAATCACTGAGGATCTAGTTTGCTTTATCCAGCCTTTAATGACTTTTAGTGATGTCTCCCATTTGAACATCATTTTTCATGTGCTTCTCTTTTATTTTCTACAAAGTTAGACTGCTTTCCAAATATTATAGATTCATCATATTATTTCTCTTTAATTTGAAGTATATATGTAACTAATTTATTCCTGTTTGATTTGGTCTGAAAATAACTGCTTTGATGAACAGTTTACAAATCAAGTATTTTAAAAATATCTTCCTACACTTCATTTAGTGGCAAAGTATGCGCATATGATTGCTGTTGTATTTAAGCTTGTAAGAAAATTAGCTTGCCTTTTTGTCCTGATGAACACTTAAATATTTCCACCATATTAAATGTGATATGAAACATTAATTGAATTCAACTATTTTTTGCAAGCAATCCACGTCATGTTCACTTAAACTCCTCGTGAACATGAATAAAGAATAGCAGCACTGTGAAGCCAGAACCATGAATCAATGTTATTATTGGTTGGATTTATATCACCAAGTCTGCTACTGAATCTTCTTTATATGTTTCACGAAACACTGTCATATGTCTCTTAAAATTATGAGATCTTTCAGATTGCTGATAACAGAATTTTAGAGCTGGAAGCTTCACGTGACCTTTCAAAGATATGGCTGCATATTGACATGGATGCTTTCTATGCTGCTGTTGAAACATTGGAAAACCCATCACTAAAAGGAAAGCCACTGGCTGTAGGCAGTATGTCAATGATATGCACTGCAAGTTATGAGGTGTGCTTTTTGACAATTGGTGTCCTTGCAATGTAATTTCTTACAATTATAGGAGGGCATATGTTAATTTGACTGCTTTTGCTGATCCTTAGGCTCGGAAATATGGGGTTCGTGCAGCAATGCCAGGATTTATTGCACGGAAATTGTGCCCAGACTTGATTTTTGTCCCCACAAATTTTGAAAAATACACTTATTACAGTGAACTGACAAGAAATGGTATGTTGTGTTGCCCTGGAGGAATTTATGCATCTATAATTGAATTTGCCCATAGCTAATTTTTCTTTCCTCAGTGTTTAGTAAGTATGATCCAGACTTTATAGCTACTAGCTTGGATGAAGCATACCTCAATATTACTGACATATGCAGTCAAAGAGGCATTGGTTGTGAAGAAGTAAGCCACAATATATGTTTTTGTGTTTTCTGAACCTTTTTAACTTGTCAGTACTATTGCATCTTTTCTCATATCATTGATCCAAACTGATACAGCCTTATTATTTTGTCAAAGGTTGCTGTTGAACTCAGAAATACCATTTTTCAAGAAACTCGTCTTACTTGTAGTGTTGGGGTTGCACCAAACCGCATGCTTGCAAAGGTCATTCTTACAGTTTCATACATATCATATTTTACTTTTTATCTCAAGAAATGTTTGTTGATTGTGAAGTAGATCTGAAGTCATTATGGGCTGAACCTATTACTTTAAATGCTTGTGAGGTTTGCTTGTCTAGTATTCTGCTCTCTAACCAGTTTGGTAGTAGTTACGTTTTATATTTAGCCCATATATCTTCTTTCAATTCAACAACTCAATGCTTGCTAGCATAATATACTAGAATAAGTGTAACTTTTTTTTTTTCTAAACTTGGCATGAATTTGTTCCCTTCCCTATGCTATCTGTGTTGATTACTGGACTAGCAAGGAAGGAGTATGATTTTAGCCGATAGAAAATTGAAGCATCATTGTCAATAAGTCCTATTTATGGGATTAGAAAGAAAGATATATTCTAATGCTACTCATTTTATGCATCTAACACAATGAAAAATGTGCTTTAATACAGTTCTGTTAGTAATCATATAGCTTCAATCTGAATGTCCTTTTTTTGTCTTTATGCCAGGTTTGCTCAGACATCAACAAACCTAATGGCCAGTTTATTTTGCCTAATGATTACAATGCTGTCATGACTTTCATATCATCACTTCCAATAAGAAAGGTTTGCAATATCTTATATGACATTTTAGGCAGATTTATGATTCGTTTCTTGTGTCTTTCTTCAATTTATTCAGGTTTACATTGCACAAGATATGTGTCTTTTATAAGTGTAATATAAATTTGCCTGAAGCCTATTATCATGGAAGTTATCTTTCAGATTAAAACAGTCAGTGACCAAGACATAGATATGCAGCTGAGTTGGCATATTTGGTTTGTTTTATTAACGAACCAACACAGATAGGAGTCTGGTGGTGGTCCTTATATTCCATTTTGCATGAGCCATAGGAATGCTCTCCTTATTTATTTTTTTTAAATACTTTTTTTTTAAATTATAACTCTTTAAACAGTTTTTTTTAATCTACTTGATAGCATTTTTGGAACATTGATTAGACCATTTAATCAAATCAACCAAATTCAACCACCCAAGTCATTATTAGATTCTCTTGTGATATATATACATCATCTGCCACAGAGTTGATCCCTACTTATTCTTTTTAGTGCTACCTAGAGAGGGCTAATTACACATTACCCCATGTAGTTAGTCATCTTTAGTATCCCGATCTCTATACTTTAAAAAGTTATATTGGTATCCCTATAGTTACGAAAGTGAAATATCTAGGTTCATTTATCCTAACAACGTTTGTTTTATTAACGAAAATATAAAAACGAAGGGTAAAAAGGTAATTTTAATATTTTGATGGTGGCAGACGACTACGTCATTGGCGCCAACGCTAGTGTAGCCGTCGCCCTCCGCCTCCTCTCCCCTATACCGCCTAGCACGCTGCCTCCTCTCCCCCTCGTGCTCACCCCTCCCACTATCACCATCGCTCGTGAGGGCTTTGGCCAACAACGACAGTAGCAACAATGGGAGGGGTGAGTGCTAGGATAAGAGGAGGTGGACGGGGTGGAAGTGGCCATGAGGGCATTGGTCGTCACCTCTCTCCCCCTCGTGCTCACCCCTCCCGCCGTAGCCGTCGACCATGAGGGCTTTGGTCAACGTCGATAACAGGACGAGTGAGCACGAGGGGGAGAGAAGGTGGTGGCCAGAGCCCTCACGGTTGCCTTCGCCCCGTCCACCTCCTCTTCCCCTCGTGCTCACCCCTCAGGGAGGTGGATGGGGTGAAGGTGACCGTGAGAGCTTTGGTCGTTGCCTCCTCATGCTCACCCCTCTTGTTGTCGCTGCTTTTGTCGTCGGCCAGAGCCCTCACGACCAATGGCGACAGGGGAGAGGAGGCGGTGGCTAGAGCCCTCATGGCTGCCTCCGCCCTGTCCACCTCCCTAAGGAGGTGAGCGCGAGGAGGTGGTTAGGGTGGAGGCGACCGTGAGGGGGAGAGGAGGTGGCGGCTACGTCGGCATCGACATCATCGTTCGCCACCATCGGAATGTTAAATTTAATTTTTTATCCATTGTTTTCATATTTTTGTTAATAAAACTAACGTCGTTAGGATAAACGAATCTATATATTTCGCTTTCATAGCTATAGGGATGCCAATGTAACTTTTTAAAGTATAGGGACCAAGTTGCTAAAGGTAACTAACTATAGGGAGTAATCTGTAATTAGCCCACCTAGAGATAAATTTTCAGCATGTGAGATTTGTCTGTATGCTTTCTAACCCGTGGTTGTATTTCATCAAATTTGCAACAACTTGGAATTAGATGAGAATGAGTGCAGATAATCTCGTTTGCAAGTGCTTAGTGAACTTTTTGCTGGGATTTTGGATAGATATTTGTTAAGTTGTTATACTATTGCTTATATTTCATGTTTAACAGCACTGTTCTTTAGCTGATTTTGATATATCATAAATTTGATCATTTGATAATGTAGTCTTGCTTATGCCTTTCCTGTAGCTTGTAGCATTTTGTCAATTCTGTGATATTATGTAGATCTTTTGCTTCCTAAAGGGATTTGATCTGTATGTTTAATCCCCCATTTCTTTTTAAAATTTAGCTCTGAGAAGCACTACATGTCTATTTCAGTTCTTGTGTTTTGTCTTGATGCAGTCACTTTATGTATTTACTTGTAGTCTATTCTGAGTATTGGCATTTGATCGCTGAAGTTCTTACGCCTCATATTCCGAGAATGTTGCTCTTTTGCGTTGGTTGTTTTCATGTCTCATCTGCTGTGGGTACTCTTAGTTTTCTTGGGAAAATTTTCATGACTTTCATGCTTTTACTTGGTTCATTTTCAGTTTCTTTCAAAGATTTTGTTTTTGCTTCAAAATTTCAAAATTTTGGTCCCACATTGATCTTCAAGTTAAGCTATATAATACTTGATTTTGTAACTCTAAATATAGTGTACTTAAAAGTTAAAACAAAAACATTTTCTTAGAGGATGCATTACATAAGATAATGATCTCTTTGTGCAGGTTGGTGGCATTGGTAAGGTGACTGAACAAATACTAAGAGACGTACTTGGAATCAATACATGTGCAGATATATTGCATAAGGGAGCTGTCTTATATGCATTATTTCATCAATGTTCAACTGGTTGGTATACTAGGTATTAGGAATCTATGGTTTTTACCATTAATATATAGTGAGCATTTCATATGAATTGGAGCTAATGTTAGTTCCTGTTTATCAATTTGTGCTTATGCAACATTATGTATGATACCATCTTTTACTATATATACAGACTAGTATAGTTTCTCAATGTTCAACTGGTCCGTATTCTAGGTATTAGTAATCTGTGGTTTTTTTACCGCACGATATGCAGTGAGCATTTCATATGAATTGGAACTGATGTTAGTTTCATGTATACCAGATTGTGCATATACTATCTTTTACTATATATACAGACTGGGTATATTTTCTCCATGTTCAACTGGTTGGTATTCTAGGTATTAGTGGTTGATGCTTTTTACCACTTAATATACAGTGAGCATTTCATATGAATTGGAGCTAATAGTTTGTGTGTCAAATTGTGCTTATGCAATACTCTGTGTGCATATACTATCTTTTACAATATATACAGAGCATATCTGCATGTGATATGCATGTGAGCCAATGCGGAAAAAGGCAAGAGGAACAATGATGTTTACCAATAAAGTTATAGGGGTATGACATGACGAAGGTATGGAGCTGATGGGATTACTGATTTTCCAATGTTACCCTCCTCGATTGTCATCGATTTCAATGGTTGAACTTACCATCTAAAACAAAGCTTTATCCTCATTGTTTGCCTTGGACTAAACTGGTGTCATTCCTCCACCTGTCTACTTTATTAATCACCTCCATTCTCTGTCATGTTTGTTATTGTTATTCCATGCTGTCTAGAAAAGGGAAGCAACATGATCACTCAAGGACTATTTTCTCCAATTACTCTTTTTTCTGTTTGAAATGTGGATGGCCCGGATTTGTTTTGCAGGCGATGTAGTTTTCTTTATGATGTCACATCTAAGTTCTCACATTATATAATATTACAGAACATTCATATACATCCATATGTAGGTATGGATACATGGCAATATACATATGCATGTGTGTGTATGAGGTGGATCTTACCACTTGTTGCTTATCCTCATTATAAATTGCAACTAGTAATCGAGTGGATTATGCATCCTTGGTCTAATATGACAATCTAAAAAAAAGGAAGATAATTTTCTCCCACTTTTTCTTAAAACAGGTTTTGGTTTAATGGTATTTATTAGCACTCTGTGTTTCTTCAAATAATGAGATGTACACTTCTATGTTCTTTGCAGACTTTTTTCTTTCAGTTGGGCTGGGCTTGGGGGGAACAGATACTCCTCAGCAAAAGATGCGGAAAAGTATTAGTAATGAGAAAACATTTTCCGCCACCAATGACGAGTCAATTATTTTCCAAAAATTGGGTAAGTGTGGTTTTGCTTTTATCAGTGGATTTGACTACATGAACACTCTTTAGGAAAGTTAGAGCTACTATGTGGTTTTCTCTCTTGATATCTCTAGACTTCCAACATGATTATGAGGGTGAATAAATTAGGGCAGGAGTTTTGCTAGGTTGTTTCCATTTTTTTTTGGTGAGATATTTTGCTGTAAAAAAATAAGAAAATAGAGGCCCAAGGGGGTTATTTAAAAGCAGGAATAAAGAAAATATCACTCACTTGGTCTAGTTTTAAGGTACGAAGCTAGACGATGGCTACAGACTTCTATCTTCAAATGAGATTTAGAAGTTTAAAATAAGTGGCAGAGATAAAAATTGGATAAAAAAGACTAAAATTTAACAGACAAGGAGTACCTTATTAAGAGGAGAAGAGAGTGTCGCTCTCAGTGTGGAGATGCTTTGTAATTGGTCAATATGTCACAGATGATGGGTATCGAAGGGGGTGCAGTAATGGCATGCAGCATTAAAATATGATAATTTTTTTATTATACAAAAGTATAAGAACATAGATGACTTGAAGTCCATCACTTTGCCTGCAGCATTGCAGGGAATTGGTGGAAACTTAATAGTGAATAGTGGAAAATTTTATTTCCTTGTATTTTGAATCTAAGTTTGATCATGTTATTAAATTGCTGTTAGAGGAGGATTTAATGTCTCTATTTTTTGAACTACTATCTGATGGCTCTTATTTGGTTTCTTTTCAAGAGAATTCTTTGAGTACATGGCTTATAGATCTCATAGTCGTTTGTTTTTATGTCAGTTCCCTTACAAGCTTTATCAGCTGCTTGTTTCCTTGCGTTCTAATTTCTTTCTCATCTTGGAAGCTTATAGCCTTCTTAGTTTAGTGTTTTCTTTCTTCCAGCTGATATTGCAGAAACATTATCAAAAGACATGCAGAAGGAGTGTCTTCTTGGACGAACTTTGACCCTAAAGCTGAAGACTGCATCTTTTGAGGTGCAATTTCTGTTCTGCTGTCCATTCTGTCTTCCTGTTAATTGTCTGTTTCTGAGACAAGATCCTATAATTTTTAAAATTTTTGGGCAAGCTTTAAGACCATTGCAAATGCTGAAAATGTGTATGAAAACCCTAAATCAGCTTTTCACAGAGATTGTCATACTTTTTGTGTTATCATATCTGTGATAATTTTCTTTCTACTGTACTTGCCTTATGTCCTTGCTTATTTACAATTATCCAGGTTCGGACAAGAGCAACCTCTTTGCAGAAATTTGTAAATTCAAAAGAAGACATTCTAATATATGCTTCTAAATTGCTAAGAGCAGAACTTCCTATCTCAGCAAGGTTGATGGGTATGTAGGATATTTTTTATCATTCTATGCTGTGTGGTTTGTGTTCATGATGTTCAGCTTCCTTCTAAACAAACTATTTTCATCTGAGATTTTCTGCAATTCATTATTTAGAATATATGATGATTTTAGATCACTTATAAAAGATTAATCAAGATAGTATCCAAGTAACTTCTTACTGCTCCTTATTGCTTTTAAATTCATCAAATTTCTAACTTTCTTTTGACATTCTACAATTGCATTATCACGTTATATTGACAGCTCACATAACAAATTCCAAAGGACTCCTGATACTTTCTAAGTTAATATTATCTTCTCTTCAAGAACATGGTCTTGCCAAAAGAATGAATAAATATTTTTGTATGGAATAACAAAAATATTTATTATTTTTCTAGGTTTGTTACTATCCACTGCAAATCTTGGCCTCAGATTGAATAAATTTTGTTTATGCCAACCAGTGGCCGTACTTGGTTTCAGGAAGCAATGCATAGGCTGAAAAAGCTAATCCAGCATATAGTCTGACTCAGAAAAACACAAGCAAGAAAAGAAAAGGGAAAAATTCACTGACTTAAGGGATAGAATCATGTCACAGTAATCTGCTACACTGGTTATGCTATGGTAAGGGTAAGTTGTCTTGTCATTGTTGGATAGAAACATGTCGCAGTTTTCTGCTACTCACCCAATCCTTCCATGATTTTCTGTCTTTGTAGTTTGGAAATGCTAGTTTGAAAGTGGAAGTTTTTATACACAATCTGGCTTTTTCTATTTTAAGTTACTACAAAAAATATAGTATTAGTTGTATGAAAAGGTTTGTTGAGCTTCAGAGGACATTGGGAAGGGATCATGGAAAGATTATTCATACAACTACTACTTCCTTTTCCAAAGCCTATTGCAACTGCAAGGGTCCTGGCATGCTAGAAAAGCTCCCAATTAAGTCCTGGAAACAAAATCGGGGGTTGCCAATAAACTTTTAGGATGGACATAATTGAGTTGATTGCTGGCGGAACCTGTGTCACCTGCATTGTTTTGGAGGTGAATAAATCAATTATTTTGCTGTTGAGTTCTTGCAAGGTTGTGTATATTCTTCAAACAGGACCAGCTGCTCAAGATATCTAATGGCCAAAATAAGATGTACCAAAAGTAGTTAAAGATTTGGCTATGTTGGTCAAAGCTGTAATCTTTAGTCTCCGGTAATCAACTTTGGTCCCGGTTATTTCATGAAATAACAAGTGAAGATTTTTGGCAATCTGCTATATATTGGTGTATAAGAGAGCAATGATTATCGTTCTCACACTGAATGTTCTTTTCTTTCTTTTCCCACTCAATGATTGCCTTTTATGATATTATGTAGCAGAGGCCATGTTTATGATATCATCGCAGGTGTCATTTATGTTCTAAATTATTCAGTTTTTTTTTCTTTTTTTAAAAGAAGAATATTTGTATAGCTTGTGAAAACAAGAAAAGCAACATGAACATCATGTGCTTCTTGCTTATGGTTGTGCATAATCTTTCCTAAAAACGCTTATCTGTTCATTGTTTTCGTCTTGCCTTGTAACATTAAGCATTCAAGATAATATCTCTTTGATATATGCTTTAATTTATCTTCACTTATGAACTGGTTTTCCAATTGCAAGTGCTTGGCTCTGTTTTTTTTCTCTTCCCCTGAAATTCAATCAGATGATTGAAGTCATAGGAGATTGAAATCCTTGCAATGTAATTTTCTGGATAATCTTTATTTCCTTGTTTGTTTCTATGGATTTTTTTTTTCTCTGATGTGATAGTTGTAGCAGGCCTGCGGATGTCGCATTTCCATGATGATAAACATAGTCCTCTTGATCCTATGCAGAAGACTCTCACAAGTTTTCTCACAATCGGCAATGTTGCTCCTATTGCGGATAAATCTACTGGTTTTGACACCAGTGACATTCAGCTAATGTATAACACTAAGAGTGATATTTCAGTTGATGATGAGAGCACTTTCTTGAGTGACGTAAGTTCCTTTTCATATGAATCATGTGACTTTCTTGAGACCAATCAGCTGTCAGTTCCGGACTACGTCGCTGTCAGTTATGGGAATGGAGCAGAAAGTTTGAATGAGTGTCCGAAGACTCAGAACAAGGTAATATACTTTTTGTTATATTCCCTTGTCGCATAATATGTTCTGGTAAAAAATTGTTCAACTAAGGCACTATAAATTTCAACAAGACACCGAGTTAAGAAATGCAAGCTGACTTACTCTTTTGGTAACTTCTCCAAAAGTTTGTTTCGTCATCAGATAAGTTATTTATTATGGTCCTACTTTGCAGCTGAGATGTCGTTGATGTAGTCAGACTGCAAATTTGATTTAACAGGCAGTCTTCCCTGTTGTTTGACAATCTTGTTTTCTTGTTGTCATATTCTGATGCTATTTATTATCAATCTTCAAACTATTGGTTTGGTGTACAGTTTGAAAGTGCCGAGAAAATAAGTGATGTCAGCAACTTATTTGATCGCAAAAGAGTAGCAGCATCATCCAGTCAAATTCTAGAGCCTTATTGGGTAGATGACTACATCTGTTCTGCTTGTGGGATTGAAGTACCAGCAAGCTTTACCGAGGAGAGACGAGAACATTTGGACTACCATCTTGCAGATATGCTTCAGAAGGAGGAATGCAGGTAGCATGACCTTTTTTGATTCTTCAATTTGATTTGGTGATGTCCAAATAATGCAGAATATATATTTTCTATATTTTGCTTTTAAATTTGCTTATGTATGTATTTTTAAACCGTAAATCGCTTTAAATATTTTGGAAGAAATGGTTTCTTTGCTTTACAAACACAAGCCAGCTAACAAGCATCACCTGATAGTTTTTGAAAAATCAAATGCACTGGTTTCGGGCAATGTTCATTCAATATTCAGTGTGTGGTTGATTCTGACTTGTTACCAAGTGATCTTTCAGGTCTTTGCTACAGTCGTTCCCACATAAAGAGAGTGCTCGGAAGAAACGGAAGTCGTCTGGGAACCAGGGAAAATATATCCCTATTGATTCTTTCTTTGTGAAGGAGGACAAGAGCTTGTAGTGTATGTATCATTATTTCCAACAGATGTAAATAAGTGATGTTACATCGAACCATATATGTTTTACACATTTCCGTTGATAGCCTTTCAGTTCAATGGCTGCTGGTATGGGACCTCTTTTCTTCACCATTTATTTGGCTAGGAAAACCCGTGTCATGCCATATCCTACAATCTCACAAGTTATCCTTTGAAGAAAAAAGGTTGGCCCTTTTTTGACATATACATGGAATCTAGTGGTTTGTCTATTAAGGTTGGCCCTTAATTCCGTGATAAGTGTATTTATCACAGGTGCTCGCTCCCGTAGTAATGGTACCGACAATTGGATCCCTCCCTCCCTCCCTCTTAATTCCATTGTCACACTTCACCTCTATCTATATCCCATTGATCTGCATGCTTCTTCTCTGATCTTCATGATGTGGTTGATTAATTTTCGTTGGGATTATGTGATTTCATTCTTCATTGGAACACACACGTCTTAGATAACAAAGACCATTTTTTGGTGAAACCAATTATAATAATAATATAACCCACCACCAATTATAATAATGATACAAACTTTTGAGAGTCAGTCAGTAGCAGCAGCAACTAAATAAACGATTTATTTATTCCAGAGAAGCCAGCGGAAATTCCAATTTGGGGGGGCATATCCGAATGCTTTGCTCAGTCAGCTATTTTCTCACGATCAAGCCGCTTTCACGAGAACAAAGAGCGGCTTACCGCCTAACCTCTGATATCCCTGGTCCAACCCAATTATAAAAATAAAAATAAAAATAAAAAAACATTATTATTATTCACTTACTAGAATTTTTGAAGAAAATATAACCGGCAAAAAAACTAGTTTTCTAATATTCTCGGAAACACACACTATTATTAGGTTTTTCTTTATTCCCTGCAAATTGACAATTGAAATAACGAGACATATTAACTTGGTTAAATGTGTTTCTTCCTTCCTCACATGCATTACTACTACTCTATTACTTGTTTCTTCCCAACAGTGGCTCCCGTAAAAGTCAAAGATAGCAAACAAACCTGAAGCTCCGGCAATTCGATGACACAAGCACATTCAACCACCTCAGCTCCAACACGTTCTGCAAAAGAATCATAATTTATTGCCATCATATAGTCTTACATGAAATGGAATGGGGCATTTTCACATACATCAGTATCGGATCCATGTATTATTAACATACACCTGAAGAATAAACACATTTTATGTATGTTCAATGTGGCTGATATATTATTATATTTATTCAGATCCATCAACCCTAGATGACCACCTCCTTAATAACTACTTTTAACCTCACCTGGTCAGACCCATCCTAGATTGAACAACCTAATACATTATTATGCAGTCTTTTAGCGAGACTTTGAAATTTTGAATTATTAGACATCATTAAACGAGGTTTATGCTGAAATGGCCAAATCAGATCTAAGTTCATGATGAGACCAAAACAACATAAGAGCTCACTGTAACTTAAAATATCAGTCAGATTAAAAATGATCGAACAAAATTTGGGTTGATTTTAAATGGATTTATTCAGAACCTAAATAGGTTGCAACAACAAGGCAGTTGAAATCCATCCACAAATAAGACTGATATTGGTAAAAGATGATATCCCATATTCCAATACATTTTCCTTTTAGGATGGATATTGACTCGATCAAACATATAAGGATTTCCAGACTCCTATTTACCAATAACTGAGCAAAATTGACGGCAACCAAACATGAAAACGCAGTTGACTAGCCAACCTTAATATCTTGGTGCAACTTTTGTTGTTGTAGTGGGGATCTTTTATGGCTTCAACCATGAAGGCCTGGAAGGCTCTCCTCTCCTTTCATATTCAAAAATAAAAAATAAAAAATTGCTAGGCTTGACGGCTTGGCCAAAGGTAATCTTAATTGTCAAATGCTACATGCCATCATTGCTCATCCTTACTATTCTAATGTTCATATTTCATAAATTAAAATACAATGTCATAATCTCATCTTAATATTGTTCCAGATAAATTAAAAATGATAATAACAATCAACCAATACTATCTAAACATAATTTCATCATAATTTCCATTATTCATCAATATTCATTTTAATTTTTTTTTAATTAAAATATATTAGAAATTATAACGATCAACCTATTCTATCTAAATATTTTGCTCTAATTATCAAAAGAGCCAAACCATCTCTTAGCTACCAAATTTTTAACATTTAGACATGTATTGCATCCATCATATGCTGCACTAAAGAAAGGACCATCGCAGCATGAAGCTATCCTTTGGTATAATTTCAATTCCAAGCACCCCACTTAGGGTAAAAACAGTGGATCCTTCCTCACTACCAATGTCAATAACAGAAAAATATAAAAGAAAGCAAAGGAAAATGGAGAGTAGATGCAAGAGATCAAACTACTGATTAAAGAAAAGACTGATGTAGCAGTCTGTAATAAGTGTGGCAACATTGTGAACTTTCCTAAACTACCCTCTTCAAAGATTTCAGATTTATGTTTATTTTTCTAGACTAAAAGACTACATAATAAATTAGAACTGGAATAAATATTGATTTGCTTGAAGAAACCTTCACATTCAAAATTACTAAAATAAGATATAAAAATGTTAGAAATGTTAGAAGGTTACTAATTTACCAAAAAAGCAGCCTCATGTACCGAGCTATTGTCCATAAAAGCAGACTGGCAGACCATATATTCACATTCTTGCCTCTTCTACAATATAATAGAGGTGGATATCTTGACCTAAACTTATTGAGCCAACCGAACATGTCATGTACCAAAGGGAAAATCTATTTTCTTTTCCAAATAAAATAAAAAAAAACAAATATGGCTTGAGCTACCAACATGTGTGTGTATACACACACACACACACACACACACATACATGCATACATATCAGGTCCAACTCAAACAACTTGATCCACATCAGGGTTGGGTCAGTTTGGACACACTGGATACATTTACTACCCATCTGAACCTGATCTGCCGTAACATAATTCATACCCAACTTAAGCATATAGAGAGGATGTTTCCATGATTTGAACACTTGACCCATAGAGCAACCTTAGCACCAATGCTTGCATCCAGATAACTACACTATCCTTGAAAAAAAAATTAAAAGCTAGACTAACGCTATATTTCGTTAATGAATACCATATGATTGAAACATGGATGGCATTGCTTAAAGTAGATCTTAAGTGCAAAGCAAAAGAATGTTTTTATAAATTACAAATATTAATATAACAAATGAAACTGTACTTCCGAATTTAAAATTATTGACTTAGATATCGTCAAAACTAGGAAGCAACACACTGTGGCAGGCTTGACCCAATAACATATTTGAAATATTTGGTTGACATGATGACATCTTACATGGAAAACAAAACAATTTCAAAATATTCACACACACAGATGACATGTCTTAAACTGTAAAAGAACAATCATTAGCCCATAACAGAACTAGCTCATATTCAAAAAACTAAAGACATCTTTAAACATCATGTGTTAACATGCTCCCAAGGTGATTGTTCTTTGATGTCTCTACCATCATCAATATATTTCTCTAAATATGATTGTCTAGAAGAGTCGAACATATATATCTACAAACCGACATTAACAACTTCAGCCATCATAGGAGGTTAAAACCTTCCCACAGGTAATTGTTCTTCAACATGCTCATCCATCATTATCAGTTAACTTCTCTAGTTATGATCATATAGGAAAAAAAATTAGTGACATCTGATGTAACCGTGACTCAGCATGTCTAGCATGGGTGGATGTAACAATGACTTATGGCAGTAAAACCAACCAATTCAACTTACCAAGGAGCCTGATAGCAGCAGCTAATGTCCCTCCTGTTGCAATTAAATCATCAATGACAAGGGCTCGATCTCCTGGCTGTACAGCTCCTACATGCATCTCCATTATGTCTGTACCATATTCTAGGGAATACTCCTCAGAAATAACTTCTCCTGATAGCCAGCATAAATTATCAGCTATTATGTACAACACATATAACAAGAAAATGATGGGAAGAGAAAAAAAGCATACCGGGTAGCTTCTTTGGCTTTCTCATAGGAACGAACTTACATCCGATGGCTAATGCAATGGGAGGGCCAAATATGAATCCTCTTGCTTCAATTCCTGTGTACATCACATATACCAAGCTGAGGAATGACAGTTTATCACAAGCATCTTATAGGATATAACCAAATGTGATGCATAACAGTCGATATATTCAACATCTTATTATGTATTTCCATTTCAAGATAGGGTTCTTGATACATACAGACAGCATACCATACAATAACTGACCAAAGAAGATTCAAAATCTGACTTGACTCTACTATCCGAAACAAAGAAAAGAAAGTGAAAGTTTCTCGTATTAAATATTCTGTCATTAGCTGTTTTCATTGATTTCTCTCATAAGCACGTCATTCACAGTCTCAATAAGACGAGACAGCAACAGTCATAATAACCATATAAAACAGCATCAAAGAAGTAACCTGCACATTGTACAGATGAATGTCAGATTTCCTAGGTTTGTAATCATTGTAAACGCAATGGTGTGCCTTCAGAAAGTGGTTCTTGACATTTCCTAGTGTTGGAATCAATAGATTACCCCAAATCCTTCTTAATGCATAATAAATCTTCAGGATGTAAACAAGAACAATAAACTAGGAAACATATATTCATGCATTCAGAGCAGCAAATATTTTTGTCAGTAATTTCTTTCATTGATTTCTCTCGTATCCAAAGCATTCATAATAAAAAAGACGCGAGAGCAAACAAACGAATAAAGAAAAGAACGCTTAATATCCTAAATATTCAACAACACATACGATCTAAAGCAGAACCAAAGAAGCGATCAACACGCCATACAGAAGAACGTCAGATTTCCTAAGTTTGTGCTTTTCCAATCTTGGTAAACCCCAATGGTGTGCCTTTAGAATGTGGTTCTTGACCTTTTAATGGTGATGGAATTCACAGATGAATCGAAATCACTCTTAGTTCAAACGAAAATTTCTAGGATGTAAACAAGAACAACAACACAAGAAGCATAAATTCACTTTTCACACACTCGAAACAGAACACGTGCAGCAAACGCCATTGACATAAACTAAAACAAAACCTCACTAATTGGAAATTTGGCAAAGGCAATTACCTGCGACAACCGTGATCCTTTTGTCTCTGTACCTCTCGACGAACATATCGATCGTGTGCCTAAACGCCTCGTGATCGAGCAGCAGGGTCGTGATATCCTGGAACATGATACCTGCAACGAAGCCAACCCATCAAGAACGCCAAAACCCCCGATCCGGAACAAGAAGTCTCAAGAAACTCCCTCCAGTGCTGGGGTTTTCAAGATCGGTGGTCTACCGGGCTTGGGGAAGTCGGGGATGACGCGTATGGTGGACGCGATCCGCGGCAAGCGGGGGTCCTCGCCGCCTTCGGAGGCCATGGCTCTGACGGCGGTGGAGACGGAACGGAGGAGGAGGCGGCGGCGGCGGAAATTGGGGAGGCCGAGACGGTAGAGGTGGGAGGGTGGGGTTCGACGAGGCAGCGGCGACGGCGACGGAAGCCGAAGTGAGCGAGCAAGGGGGGCCGAAGCTGAGGACGAGAAAGGAAACATCTCCGTGAGTCTTAAAGAAGACAACGATCGGTTCGATACGCTCGTCCCAACGTGGGTGCGAGCGGGCACTTGACGTTCCACCAACCAAGGAAAGTGGGTCCCGCTTGCGCTGGCATAACAGACCGTCCATCTTTGTTACGGACGGTTAGGATCCGGGACGTGTGGTCCGTATCTCAGCCGGACCGTTGGGATCGATACTTGCGAATCCTACCTGTGTTGCTATTGGAGACAAAATGTAGGGTCGACCTGGGTCCCATACTTGCTGCCTCCGATGGCAAGTGAGATGGGCGCGCGGGTCAATCTGTCAATGCAACGAACCCTTACGTGTTTAAGACTCAACCTATTGATTTGATTTAAACTATTCTTCTAAAGAGAAGGGGCCTTTTTTGGTGGAATAAATTTAATATCTGAAAAGCATTATTTTCCAGATTTCCGATTAGCGAGGCTTTGTCATATTATACTCGCATCCCCAATTGCTTTGCTTTGCTTTGCGGGATTAAAAGATGGAGAGGGAAGTTGACTTAGGTTGACCTTTCCATGGGATTTCCCCTTTGCTGAATTAGATTTTGAGTGACTGGCGAATCCAACTCACACAATCTTTTCTCCATTTGCGTGTAAGAAAAGGAAAAGCCGCCGCCTCCGCCTACGACGTCGTTAAACAAACGAGGAACACATGACGAAGCTCGTCGTCACTTGCAGACAACCTTTGCGCACTTCCTCCGCCCACCCACGCGGCCATTAGACAAAAGTAGCAGGCCATGGCCGACTCGCTTTCTTCTAGACTCTCTCTCAGCTCCTTCCCGGAAAGTAGGTCACTCCTTCCCACCACCTCGTTCGTTTAGTTTGACTGTTGACCCAATGTTCGCCTCCCCACCACCGCCGCCACCTTCTAATTTTTCTCTCTGGAAGTCGATGCCGCCCGTGTTGGTGATGATAGCTCGCCAATCAATGCATGCATGTCCTACCAAGTCAAGCTCCAAACATATGCTTAATTATGGTGTGGCAGATGAGCCAGTTCAAAGTAAGCAGCTGAAATAGTCCAAGTCTACTACTTCTACTCACTCTCCCTCTCTCTTTCTATATATGTATGGCACAGCCGCCCTTCACGCCCAACTCTGCATTCTAGCATTCTTCATATAGATCTTGATTCTGCTCGGAACTACTCGATGGCGGTCCAGACGCTGGAGACGACGGTATCTACTGCGATCCCACTGCTGAGCGACGAGACGAGCGACGAGGAGTTGCCGCACATCGTGGGGTGGGCGAAGCGGAAGCGGTCCAAGCGCTTCTTCGACCATCCGACGACGGAGGAAGAGTATTTGGCGCTCTGCCTCGTCATGCTCGCTCGTGGAGGAGGGTCCGGCACTCATCGCCTGCCGGCGTTGGCCTCCGACTCGGCACCGCCGGCGAAGCTCGAGCACAGGTGTTCCGTCTGCGGGAAGGCATTCGGGTCGTACCAAGCCCTGGGCGGGCACAAGTCCAGCCACCGGAAGCCCAGCAGCGGCGTCGAGGAAGCCTCGGCCTCGGGCTCTTCCACGGCTAGCGCGGCCTTCGTCGGTGCCAGGGTGCACCGGTGTTCGGTGTGCCTGAAGACGTTTCCCTCGGGGCAAGCGCTGGGGGGGCACAAGAGGTGCCACTACGACGGGAGCCTCGCCAGCGGCGCCGCGGCGGCGATGACGTCGTCGGAGGGGGCGAGCTCGAACCACCGGGCGTTCGATCTGAACGTGCCAGCGTCGCCGGACTCGGAGTTCGACAACGTCAAGCGTTGGTTGGCGACGATGAAGCCGGAGGAGGAGGAGGAGGTGCAGAGCCCACTGGCTTTCAAGAAGCCGAGACTTGTCATCCCGGCATAAGCGAGTCAACTCCACTGCGTTAATTCTTTGGTTCTTATAGACATCACTCATCCGTCGTTTGTACAGAGAATGGCTCGCTCGTTCTTTGTAGCTGAAGTCTATTCTTTGCCTAACGTAACACCGAAGGCTATATATTGATTTGAGATGGAGGAAAGCTCGCCGGTTATGGATATATTACTCATCCGGTTGTATTTTTCTATCATCAAAATAGTGGATTTAGTCGGCAGGAAAGCTTTTTATACTCGAATAGAGATAATATTCTTAGTTAAATCAAAAAAGTAATCAAATTATTATTTATAATCTCTAGTGAAGTCTTCTTAACTCTTCCTTTTATCCCTTCTCCTATCAGTAGGAACGACGACGACGACGACGACGACGACGATGAGTTGGAAGAGTGTTGATTGCAATTCTTACTATTCGTACTGTACATACTGCGATGATCAACACAGGCCGTTCTTGTCCGGCCCGTTAAATCGAACCCATTAGCTTCTCGGTTAGGGTTCCTTGGAATCACAACAAAAGATAGAATCGTTTGTATAATAAGCCCTCGATAGCTTTCCATCCTCGAGCAAAGCGAAAGGGAGGACGAATCCACCGTATGGCGTGCAAAGTCGACGATGGCTTATGGGCAGGCAAACAGTAACCACATGCCGGTGGGACTGCTTTGGATTAAAAGATCCTCTTAGCACATGATGTTAGCTAACTAAATCCCCCCACACGCCATCATGACTCACTCGGGACTCGAAACTGATGGATGCAGACGACGACGACGACTCCTCCTCTGCCAGATCTCTGGTCCATGGCATCCTATGCTGATGTTTGACTCGGCCGATCTCGGCTCGGCTGTCGTTTACTCTAAGATTAATCTTTTAAGTACAGATGATCATATATTTAGTTTAATCCTATGAGGTGGAAGATTAAACAGCTAAGAAGCATTGCACTCGGCCACCTTCCTTTAAGGTGCCGTGCCGTGTCTTCTTTCTCGGTCACGGTCGTCACGCCCAGACAACGCTCGGGAACGAAAACACCCAAATCTGTGTAGGAGAAGAAGGGATGTTTGGCTAAGTCAAATGTCGCTTCCATCCAAAATGACTACCGCCCATCCATCCACAGCGAATCCATCCATGCACGAGGCCGAACGCCTGCTGTCTCTGAGCCTGAGCATCTCGGCCTCCGGTGCTTTCGTTTGGATTTTGTTCCAAATGTCCCCATGATCTCGTCCCCCACTCCCAACAGTTCGCCACGATGCATGCTCGCTTCACACCGCTAATCGGACCACAACTACACGGGAGGATAAGAGGAGCAGTGGATGCTTCGTCGGTAAGCGCATCACCAAGCATTGAAAAGATTCACATCCAGAAGCTGTGTTCCAAGGCTCCATGTAGCTCTCACCGCTCCGAACAAGGAGAAGGAGCCAAGCCTGTATATGCATGCGGGTGACCTGTGGGGTTGGGACAAGGGAAGGTGGTGGGGGGTGGTGGGGACATTCGGATGCTTAGGTGAGGTGAGAGATAGGTCCGAAGGGGAGGGATAAAGGGCAACAGGGATGGGCTCGGAGTAGGACAGTCCAGGGTGTAGAGCACTGCCGTGTGATGCACTGCGCTCGGCGCCTTTGAACTATTCTTCGGCTTAGGATAAGAGCATCAAAGGTACAAAATCTGCTAACGATGATTCGACTTAGGTCACTGTATTCTTTCGCTTTGGACAGCCATGCATGTTCTCTCGACGGAGATCTCGATGAGCGCAGGGATCTCACACTTATGTTTGGTAGGTGACCGGTCCAAGGAAGAGACGGGTGCGACTTAATCGCTTGAGCTCTTGCCCGCTCACATTCTGAGACCACACATGATGCTTTCGGAGCGAGAGCTCAATCATTCTGCAATCTGGAAAGCCATGCGTTGTGTTCGTGTTCTGTGCGGATCGCGCATAAAGCGTTTGCGGTAATTAATGGCGTGCTCGCAACATGTCGAACAGATTCCCGATCGCCCGATGCGGTGTCAGCAGCGGATGCAAAGCGTCGCGGCGTGCCGGAGAAAGTGGCGAACATGGGGTGAGATAGTGCTGGGGACCGTAGCAAGAAGAAGAAGAAGAAGAAGATGAGCTCTCGAGCAGTAGCGGGAAGAGTTGCTGTTATTAGCATCGATATCGGCGGACGGAGGCAGCAAAAGATGGTAGTGTTTGTTCGGTGAGGTTTGCTCAATTTGAGTGCCAACTTTAGAGGGACTTCTTTTCAGAGTCCCATGTGAACAGCACCATGGATTTTGACATGGAATGTGATGTTTTCTTCATGTTTACTCTTCATGTTCTCTCTCTCTCTCTCTCTCTCTCTCTCTCTCTCTCTGTCTATGCTTGTTATTATCTTCCACATTGAAAGGGCAGGATAAAGAAGGATCACTTGGGTGGACCAAATCCATCACAATAATGAGAGTACACCCCAAGCCATGCCGGTACATTAGGAAGTCTCCAGCAAAAGTATTGATTGTTTGAGGCACTTTTCCTTGATGGAGAGAATGATTGAAGTCGCCCGAGTTGAAGGTTTTGAGGTTTCCATTATGACCACATCCTCGACTTGATTATATCATCGATTTCGATGTGAATTCAAATATTAGGAGCTATCTTAATGGCCATTATTCGATTGATAATGTGCGGCATCAAACTCGGGACAGGCCAAAAGAGAAAAAAAGGAGTCGGGGAAGTTGACGTTTGACTTGAGCATGCAAGCAAACTCCCAAAGTGATGATGATGTGATGAAAGGAAAAGAAAACCAACTTTAGAATGGGGAAAGAAGAATGTCGAGACGGTGAATGATGTGAAGATAAATTATACATTTAAATTTGAAGCAGTAATATGTTATCTTACTGCGGTAAATAAATATATATATGTTGCGGGGACACAAACGTCAATCCGGTGATTAAGCTCTTAAAAGAAGACAGCAGGGGGACTGCGCAAAGCTCATATCCTAAAGCCATGGGGTGGTGGTGGTAGGGGGAGGGAGGGACGGAAGGGAGGAGCAACGGGTGCAACCTGCGGTGGCTTCGGAGGAGCAGTCGAGGACAGAGAAGCTTCGGCGCGTATCAGCCAGGAAAGAGGTGGCCCTTCTACGGTTCGGCCTCTGTCTACTTCCCCTGACATCCTCTCTCTCATCCTGGTCGCTGCGTGTAGGTGGCGGTGGCTTTGCCTCTCTCTCTCTCTCTCTCTCTCTCTTCTCTTCTCTTTGGAGGGTGGGGTGGGGTGGCGTGGAACCGAGGAGGTGACCGACCGACAGGGGATGTAACGTAGCTTGACAGATGGCCACGATGAGGACGATGGGCTTGCTGCTGCTGCAGTTATCACGATAGGACACCTGCGAAGCGGTAAGATTCTTACCTTTTGGGAGTGACTGACTGCTCGATCCTCTACTTTCTCATTTCTCCCCGACTCTCGATATTATCAGCTCAGTTTATTTCGTCAGCTTCCTTTCTCCTCCTCCTCTTTCTCTGAGCTTAATTTTGTCCCCAAGCCTTTTCGAGATCTGACAAATTAGCATGTCCGACGATTGGTCGAGTCTTTTGATCTCTTCTTTGGTTGGTTGATAAGGTTGTAGTTCAGCTTGCTGTTCTCTGGCTTTGTTGTTCTTTCTGGGCCTTCGTTTCGGTGGTGCAGGGTGGCATATGGGTTCTCCTCCCAACTTGATGAGATTCGATTCAGCAGCTGTTGTGATGGTCTCCCTACACGCCCTTCTCCCATGCTGGAGAAAGATGCTCATTGTCTGTGGATTTACCGCATCCCTGCCCCTCATGCCTAGATGCTGTCTTCTCCTTGCAGGCAATATTGACAACTTGGGACGCAGAGCTGGAGGGGAATGTGCATTCCCAGCTGAGACTCCTCATCACACCACCGGATCTCAGAGCAGAAGAGGGGGAAGAGGAGAAGGCAAAAAGGGAAGTTAGCAACCAAGGAGGTTGACGGAGAGTAAATTAATATTAACGAGTGGTCAGCGTGTGCTCGCTATCCGTGAGTTGTTTACGGACTCAGAGAGCCTCCTCGTCCTCGTGCCGCGCGCGGTGCTCCACCCAGTCGCCTCCGGACTCCGTGGGCGCCTGCCGCTGCCCGGGGAAACAACGCTGCCTCTGCGTCCGACCGCATCTTACGGTGGCCTGCTTGCTCTTCCGGAACGAGAACCCGTCACGGTGTGGGTAGATCTTAAAGACCCAGCGGCTCTTGTTTTGGAAGGACCAGTTGCCACGAGAGAGAGAGAGAGAGAGAGAGAGAGAGAGAGAGAGAGACAGTAGACCATATCCTTTATCTCTAGCTCGTACTCCAGATTAGGTCTTGTTGCTGTAAGGGAGCACCACCATTCACATGGTGGGTTTTGTTTAGTGCGGTTGTTGATGATTGCCGGGCATGTGGGGCGACTGTTTCGCTGTGGTTATCATGAGCTGAGGGAGGGATAAAAGGTCCTCAGCTTCTTGGAGTGTAGCAGCAAAGACTTCCTTTTTCTTCTTCTTCTTCCTCCGCCTCTTTACTTTGGCAAGATGAAGTATATGAAGCTTGGATCGAAGCCCGATGCCTTCCAGTCCGATGGAAACAATATCAGGTAAAAAAACAGCCCTTGAAACCTCATTATTCACTCATAAGCTACTAAAATAGGCTTCCATCAGCAGCAAAAAAGAATTAGCAATGCTCCAAGCCAACTCGGCTTTCCATAGATCTTAGCAAGAAACTGCTACATATTAATATTCCTCCTCGGAGTGCATGCCGATCCATGATGTGCTTTCGTAGCTTTGGAACCTCAGTGTCAGTGGTGTTTGGTGATTCCTTTCTCCTTGTGTCTTGTATTGCATTCACAATCTTAGATGTGCTCACTCGTATGAGTCCATATATCTATCTATCCACCAGTCGCAATATAAAATGATCCTATGTCTCGAAAAGCATTCTATGAAACTGCGGTAGTATATCTGAGTCCATAGTTGTGGTTGTGGTTCATTTAGATTTCCTGAGGCTCCATCTTTTGCCACAAACCTAATCTTGAAATCTCTTTACAGATTCGTGGCGACGGAGCTGGCGACCGATATCGTTGTTAATGTGGGAGACGTGAAGTTTCATCTGCATAAGGTAGTGTTAGCCTGAACTCGGTATCATCTTGCTTGCAGAAAGAAAGATCGATTCCGATGAATCGATAGTCTGCTGTCATATGCTTTAAGATCGCATTTACCATAATCTTCTTCACTGTCAATCATCATAAGCGAACACCATATTATATCCATCATGCGAGGATCTGGTGACTTGTACTTGCTTGTGTATCGTGATGCTCACACGACTATCACGCGCAGTTCCCTCTTCTATCCAAAAGCCCGCGACTGCAGAAGCTGGTGGTGGCCACGGGCGAGGAGGAGGACGAGGAGATCGACATTCCCGACATCCCCGGTGGCCCTGCCGCCTTCGAAATCTGTGCTAAGTTTTGCTACGGCATGATCGTCACCCTCAACGCGTACAACGCGGTGGCAGCTCGGTGCGCGGCAGAGTACCTGGAGATGCACGAGGCGGTGGAGAAAGGGAATCTCATCTACAAGATCGAGGTGTTCTTGAGCTCCAGCATCCTACGCGCGTGGAAGGACTCCATCATAGTTCTGCACACCACCAGGTCCCTGCTTCCCTGGGCGGAGGACTTGAAGCTGGTCGTCCGCTGCACCGACTCGATCGCCTCCAAGGCCTCCGTCGACCCCTCCGAGGTCGACTGGTCCTACACCTACAACAGGAAGAAGCTTCCATCCGAAAACGGCCTCGACCCACATTGGAATGGCGTCAGGAAGCAGCAGTCGGTGCCCAAGGATTGGTGGGTGGAGGACCTCTGCGATCTCGAGATGGATTCGTACAAGCGGGTGTTAATCGCCATCAGGACGAAGGGGAAGATCGCCGACGATGTGGTCGGGGAAGCTCTGAAGGCCTACGCATACAGGAGGCTTCCGGGTTTCGCCAAAGGCTCGGTGACCTGCGGAAGCGATCCCATGAGGTCTCGGACGATACTGGAGACCATCGTTTGGTTATTACCCACGGAACCGGGTTCCGTTTCGTGCAGCTTCCTGCTGAAGTTGTTGAGGTCCGCAAGCGCACTGGAATGTGGAGAGACTTGCAAGAAAGAGTTGATCAGGCGAGCGGGACGCCAGTTACAGGAAGCTGCTGCGTCCGACCTGCTGCTGCCTTCGGCGACAGGGGAGACCGTGTACGACGTCGACTTGGTTGCAAGCGTCGTGGAGGAGTTCGTGACGCAGGACGGCGGCACTGCTCGAACCAGTCCCGAGGCCTCCGAGGAGGTCGTGGAGGTGAGGAGCCCGGTGTTCGTTTCTCCAAGCTCGAAAGCTGCCGTTGCGAATCTGGTGTATGAGTACCTCGCCGAAGTCGCGAAAGACCCCGATCTACCTCTTCCCAAGTTTGTGGAACTGGCTGAAATGGTGTCGGCTGCCTCGACGCCGGTGCACGACGGGCTTTACCGTGCCATCGATGTGTACCTCAAGGTAAAATCACCGGACGCCGTGCGCTTCTCTGATCGCAGCTCAGAATCGATCCTTATCTGTTGCCCTCATGGTGTGTGCAGGAGCACCCGGGGCTAAGCAAGAGCGAAAAGAGGAGAATCTGCAGCATGATGGACTGCAGAAAGCTGTCGACGGATGCCTGCGTACACGCGGTGCAGAACGAGCGGCTCCCGCTCAGGGTCGTGGTCCAGATCCTCTTCTTCGTGCAGATGAGAGCTGCTGCGGCTCCCGCTGCCGGCGGCGTGTCCCAACTCCCCGGCAACGTGAAGGCGCTGCTCCGCGAAAATGGCGGTTCGTACGGCAGCTCAAGATCGGCCGTCACGACCAACACGGAGGACGACTGGGACGGCGTCCCGACGGCGGGCGGGGACATCAACTCTCTCAAGTCCGCCGGTCCGGTGGGTCGAGGTGGGGGGAGTCAGAGGAGCAGCGGCGGCAGTGATGTCAGCAAGCACGGCGACGAGAAGGGCAACGGCAAGGTGAAGGGAATTCTCCTGCCGAAGAGGATACTGAGCAAGCTGTGGTCGGGCAAAGGGCAGGGCGGCGAGAACAGCAGCTCGGACATGTCGGAGAGCCCCGGCTCCGTCGCTCAGGAGGAGGCCAAGTCCACGCATTCGAGGAACACCAGGCATTCGGTTTCGTAGGGGAAGAGAGAGCGCAAGTACACACAATACTAGTTACACATCATACTAGACGATCTTGAGGTAGTGCCATTAATTAAGCGCAGTTGCCAGATGACCGAAATCTAGAGCGAGAAAGGATTCGGACGTCCGGTGGGATGGCTAAGAAGCAGATCTTCTTGATAGGTTGTTCTGAATGGATGATGACCACCGGTTCTTGTGCATGTACCACCACACGAGGGGTCGCCTGGTTCCAGCAGAGTCTACTTGGGATCAGAATCGGAAGCCAAGGATGAGTAATAAATACATGGATATGGCTGGAATTTGGTTCAACAACGAGTGTTGGAAAGAAGAAGAAGAAGAAGAGCTAAAACTTAAAATGATGTATTAGTTATGAACCAGTTTGATCTTTTCATGATTTCTGTCTTGGTTTATGTTGTGGATCAGACTAGGAAAAATCTATGATTATTAGAGAATTCGTGTTGTTCCAACTGAGCCAGAAAGCAACATTTGTTCTGTTCCAGGTGTAGTTGGCCGTCACCTTGACTCGACCTTAACGTAGACTTCCACCACGGTGGAATGTGCAAATGTGGGTCCGAATGATAGGTAAAACGGAGGCAAAGGGTGCAAAGCAGGCAGCGCATGAAGCCCCGGCAAGGAGAACTCAGTGACCCAACCCTGTCGGCCAACAAAATCCAGGAGGGGAATGACATGGAACGCTCTGAACGGTGTGTTACGATACACTCGTGGATCAGATACTTAGTTGGCCGTCCAATCCATGGCCGTGCATTATATATAATATGGAACGGTTCCTAAGGCCAGCAGAAATCACCGACAAGTGGCGCGCATATCGAATAGGGTCACATTAGCAATGGCATCGAAAGCAAAGAGAGAGAGAGAGAGAGAGGAGGGAGCGGTCCAAAGCCTCTCTCGTGTAACGTAGTTACCAAAAGCCGACGACAACGTTTCCTCCGCCGCATCTTATCCTGCTCCTGCTCCTGCTCCCGCTCCCCCATTTGGCTTTCACGCGTTCCACGTCTCCCACCGTCGATATCGCCTCTCACGACAGAAACACGACACGACAAAAAAGCGTTGCGCGTGACACCAACGAAGGCTATCACTGCATTTTACGATGACGGAAACAGCCACCTTGTGCACCGTCACGTTGTCCTTGTGCTTTCGATAAGACACAGGGAAGAAGAAGAAGACGACGAGCCGGTGAAGCGTGACCGTCCGATTCAGAATTCCCTGGGGTCCACGAAGATGGAGGGTGGGGAAAGCGCCTTGGTCCAGTCGCCGAGCGACCCGTCGCTGTACTCCTCCGCCAGGCGCTTCACGCACCACACGTCCTCCGCGCAAGAGAGGCGGCCCCAGTGGGGGATCCCCTCCCCGGAGCGGCTCGCACGCCGCCACCTCCGCCGCCACCACCCGGCAGCCCGGGTCCGCCCGCGCCATGTTGTGCACATGCCCGCACAGCGCCCGCACGTGCGCCGCTGCCGCGGGGCCCTCCCCGCCCACCCCGTAGAGCAGGTACAGCCCGAACGGCCGGAACAGGTCCGGCACCGACGGGATGCGCAGCCACGGCAGCGCCCGGTCCACCGCCCGGCTCGCCCGCGCCAGCCCCCGCCGCCACCGCCCTGCCCCCCGCACCTCGAGCCGGAACACCTCCTTTGAGTTCCACACGCTGGCCACCGCCCACGAGGCGGGCGGGTCGGCCAGGAACGCGCCGGCCCCCTCCCACCGGGCCGCGGCGGAGCAGCCCGCGGGGACGGCGAGGAAGCTGCCGAGGGAGAGCGGGTTGGCCAGGACGGCGTCGATGTCGCGGGGGAAGAACTCGGTGGCGGCGAAGCGGCGGCGGTATAGGGCCTCGGCATCGGCGGCCGTGAGGCGGAGGATGGCGACGCGTGGGGGGAGGGGAAGGCGGTGGGCGAACACGGGGTGCACCAGAATGGCCGGGTTGCGGAACTTGGAGTAACCGCACCGCCCGGTGAAGAGGCGGAAAGACGCCTCGTTGTCCTTCTCCGTCGCCATGTACGCGTACTCCGCCCCCTTCTCCTTGAACCACTCCTCCATCCTCCGCACCAACTTCAGCGCGATCCCCCTTCGCCTGAGGAGGCCGCTCGATTAGATCGGTACTAAGACGGTGATTAGAGCGACGGGGGGAGATGAACGGGTGGTGAGACTCACCGGTGAGCGGGGGAGACGCGGAGGCCGAGGAGGTAGGCCACCTTGGCATAGATGGGGACGGCGGTGGCGGTGTGGTGCTTCGCGGGGGAGGGTAATAACAAGGGGGTGCCGCAGGCCACGGTCTTGATGCAACCGCGGACGAGCCCAACGATCTCCCTCTCCGGCCCGCTAACCAGCTCTGCCACCTATATTAACATCATGATCGTGGTTATTCGCGTCCAAACACTTACCGAAGAGAAAGACGATCGCGATAACGAGTCCAAAGTACGTTAACGCAGAAACGGGGAGATGATCGGAAAGAATGAGAGGGAAAAAAAAGGAGGAATACGGACCAGCATGAGGAAGGGAGGGGAGTGGCGGACACGGCAGAGGGGGTCGCCGAGGAGGTCGGTGAAGAGGGACATGGCACCGCCGCTGTGCCCCACCTCGCACATCCGCTCCACCGCCTCCGCTCCCACCCGGTCCCGCTCCGCGTCGTACTCCCTGATCGCCACGACCGCCATGGACTCCACCATCCTTCTCTTACGTAACACCGGCCGGTCGCTATTGGCAGCCAATAAAGGTGGCGAAAGTGAGGGATGATTCAGGTGTGTCTCCCTCTGTCCTCTCACTAGGCTCGATCACTTGGTGCGTAGCACAACAAACAGAAACGCGCCGCTGCAGCTTCTGTCTTCAGATATGTATGTATCTGCTCTTTCCCTAGTAGGGGAAGTCGGTGATACCAGTGGAACTTCTTTCTTTCTTCAAAGGCAAGTAGTGGTTGGCATGAACCGAAGGGGAGCGATGGAGGTGGGCTATTTATACCCCTTCCCTTTCCCTGGTGGGAGGAAAGAACAGAGATGGGAAGGATAAGAGATGGGGTTCGGTCAGTGCAGTAGTTGAGATGAGGTGTGGAGGTGGGGTGACTCTCTTCCTCCCTCCTTTTATACACAGCAGCAGCTGATCGGTCAGAGAGAGAGAGAGAACAGAACAGGCCGGAGAGAGAGAGCGGTGTGCGTCTATAGCTGTAAAAGAAGCGCAGGAGGTGGGGTTGGGCTTCCAGATGGAAATGGCGGCTGTGGCTGCGCGGTCCCTCTGCTCACTTCCTGCGCCGCAGCTATTCCGTTGCCATGTCCATAATAACATACGTTATCATACCATATCATGCATGCGTATATGTTGACGTATGATCATATGATAGGATGTGTATATATATACACATAATGGAGATACGTGGAGGGAAGCTGGCGTGGCGCGAATGGCGCCACGGATCACGTAATCGAGATGCGAGGTTCGCCGTAATCGAGCCACGTGGACGGTAAGCGGCGGGTAACGGCGCATCATCATTATTGGGTGGGCGTCTCACGCACCACCCAATTAATGACGGTGGGGGTGGGTGCACCGCCCGATCAACGCCCTACGTGATTATGATGACGGCGAGAAGTGGGCGGACGCGTACCTCCTGGCTCGGGCGTACCGCCGTGGCCCAGCTCGCCTGTGTCGACAGAGGGTCCCACGTCTTTCCCACCAATAAAAAGATGACGTTCTCGGGTCGGTGCCTCCGCCGTTACTGCAGTTGTTTTCGTGGGACGTCAGATGAAGGGTCGAGGACGGGTTCGAAGTTAAGTATGGACGGTTCGAAGTTAAGAGGATGACAATGATTAGACAACGATCAGGTGATGACGACGACGACGATGATCTCGTCACCGTTCGATAGGAGATCAACGGTTCGATCTTCTTTATTTCGTTCGGATGAGGTTGGTTTAGTTGACGGACCAACTATGAAGACGTGATGGAATCGATATATATATATAAATACGACTTTTTATCTTGTTGATGCTAAGCAACTTGCTTATGATTGACATTAAAAAGGTACAAAGATTTAGTGAGACAAGTAAATCTCACCTTCCGATCGCCAAGATCCGTTTGTCTACGACTCATTGTACATGCTACTGTACCAGCATACTTGCATCCACCAGCAATAGATTCTCTACGTGATGCATAACGAACCTATGAATGCGGTCGATCCAATCATGGATGCCAGCTTCCACATAATTTTTGGAGGCAATTAATTACACGGTATTCGTGGCAAGCCGGTACGATGGCGTGCGTGGAGATTCGCGAAAGAACCGATGGGGTCGATGAATCCAACACGAGCTTGTCGAGCCATCGCGGAGCAAATGGGTGACCGGAATCGTAGGATATCGGCAAATGGCATTAACCTTGGCCATGCGAGCTTCGGACGAGATGCTGCTGTTCTCGGAGCAGGCGTCAAGATGCTTCCTGTTGCCATTAATTTGTCCATTGCTGTCTTGGTTTCTCCCAGGAAAGGGATGAAGCCAAGACCCAGTCCAGCTCCGGTGTCGCCCGGTGGCAGATGGGACCATCTCGTTGCAGCAGCACGCAGTAAGTGTTTCCTGACGGCGAGTACGCACTAATATCATACGAGATGCCTTGGAGAGGAAGGAAGCTTAACCCCTGTGCTGCACATGCTAAGCGAAGGCCGTGTCGCGGTACGAATCCGCGACAAGAAGACAGCGGCCTCGATACGATCGGCGAGCGAGTCGGGCTTCGGAGATGGCCAGTTTTCGCGTGCCGTATGGCTAATCCCCATCTGGCTGTCCCCTGATTGGAGTCCTGAGACGTATAATATGAAGCGTTCGACGATGGGGCGGCAGACATGGCAGCTCGAGCCAGCAGAGTTGCGGTAAGTCTGGAATGGTCGGGTTCATTAGCACTTGGGATGAGGTCAATGCAAACAGGTTGACTCCACCAAACACAGCCTTTGACAAAGTGTGGTGGTGGCGTGGCTCGAGGAATTATTACTGCCCTTTGTTTACTACTCGGAAGGCGCGTCGCTCGCTCGCTCACTCTCTCTCGATCTTTTGTATTCGGTTCACGTACAGCAATGGATATGGATGCTAACGTTCACACCAGAAAAAGAAGAAGAAGAAGAAGAAGTGGTGACTCTAAATTTTATGGGTTTTAACCATTTTTTTTTTCTTCTTGTTCTTGATCTTTTTGATGTTTTGTAAGATGATTATGATGGCTCACCATATAATTAATACCTTTCCTACAGCAATCATATAGCTTGTCCAAAGAGTCCATGATAGCCACTTGTCAGTTAGATAGTCTCCATTACATAAAAAAGCATATAATGCAGTTGCTTTGGCACCAGTTGGTGTGGTGTTCATCTTGTGGAAGAGTAAGTACCTAATTAGATAGCTCTTGTCACCATTTGCATTACAGCCAAGCAAATGATGTTACTTGCCACTTGCCTAGTGCTCCATCACATCTTCTGCAACTAAGTATCCTCCAAACCATGCCACCACCATCACATCTCAAGTCACACTCCCTAGGCTGCATCCAATCTGTGCTGCTCTTCGGATCCTATCCATTTCCTTTCCGATAAGCGTCCGATCTGATGTGACTCTATTTCAATATCACGATATGATTTTTCTTTTTTTTTTTTGCATCGGCATCATATCCGTAATAAAGTCTGTCTTCATCCTTGGGTATCGACAGTTCCTTGTTGCTGTTTCGAGATGAGCATTGTTGTTTTGATAGTACTAAGAGATGATCATCATATCATAGTGTCTGTCACTGTTCTTTAACCGAGACATCTCTTTGATGGATGATGATGTAACTCGACCGCAATCATTCTTCTTGTTGGGATGATGATGAATATAATGGCCCTTAAACAATCTTTATCTTTGTCTGAGAGATTACTGGAAGGAGATATGGGAGTCCCCATCATCCTCCTCCTCCTCCTCTATCAAAATTCCAGAGATATGTCAGACTCTCCTTTCGCCGAGGTAGTGATTCATATCATGGTTGTCAGGCAAATGCATTTGCTCTGAAACTTTAGTGTCATCACCAGCAATTATCATGCCATCCCATTAATTATTGGAGGTCAGGCAAATACATCTCCTCGTCACTACTGTAAACTGATTTCGTCAGACAGTGAAGACCGGTGCGAGAACGGAGTGTTGTTGGCAGTCTGCCAGAAAGATGTTCTGCGGCAGTGCAAAGCCAGGGGCTTCCGCCAACCTATCTTCCACCATGACCGACCACCATCAACTATGGGGAGAGAAGAACCACACTGCCTCCTCTCTTTCTTCCTATTTCTCGATGTTGGTTTTGGCCAAGGCGAGGAAACTGTGGCAAGCTCCATAACGGGAGAGATGCGTCAGAGCGAGCCAGCTGCGTACATTTAGATAAGCAAGAGAGGACCATCCATCCTCATGGGGATCAAAGATCATGCCATCGAATGCCAAGAACATTCCATGTCATTCGCTGGCCATCATCCATCCCTCTCGAAGGACACTGACGCACCACCGGAAAGGGGGGGGGGGGGACCTGGGAGCGGTGTGAAAGCTTGGGATGACATGTGTGCAGTGGCCTCGGCAGCTCGGGGAAGGCGGAGAGGGGGGACCTGGTGGTGGTGTGAAGCTTGGGATGACATGTGTGCAGTGGCCTTGACAGTTCGGGGACGGCAAAGACTTGTCCTGGAGTAGATCATGGCCATCTCTATCTTTGACTCTTTGGGCACAGGGAGTGCAGTAGGGTGGGTTGTTCATTGGACGCTCGGTGGGTTTCTCCTGATCTCTTGCATGGTGACGAGACTCGACACCACAAACGAAGCTGCAATCGATTAGGAAGGAACCACCATCATCCTATGTCCTTCTTTCGAGTATGAGCGACAACACCAGCATCATCTCTACCATCGACGAGGAGTAGGAGTTTTGGGCCTTCACAGTTTCAAGTAGCATTAAAATTCTCGGGTGGTGTGCAAAGAACAGCACGCTAACTAATCTAAACTCGGTTCTAATTCGAATCCTACCAATTAATTGACGTTCGAGTTTAAATCCGATTTCGTATATATATATATATAAATACAAACTCATCCCAAATCCAATTCAAATCTATCTAATATTGGTTCTTATATGGTCACGTAACCATTTGTTTTCCTCATGCAAATTTGACGAAGATCCCATATAACATTTCTTTCGTCTTCATTTCTTACTACATCATGATTTGCGAACTGTGATCTCATGGTATGCAAGCGTAGTAGCGAGAGGTTGTTGTGTTCATCCTCATCATTTCTTACTCTATGATGACGACGACTAGTATATCACTACAATCGGAGTCCCGGAGATTGTGCCTCCGTAGAATGTCAAATGGCCAGAGAGGGAGAGAGCGGCAGCACAAGAAAACGAATTAGAGGTTGCGACGGAGGTTACAAGGAGACCAATGGAAGAGGGAGGTCCTCCGCCGCCGCTGGATGGCCGGCGTCTGCCGTCGGGTCTCGGTGTCAGTACTCTTGCGCAGCATCTCCCACAGCACATGGACGTCCTCGTACTCGCACGTCCTCACCTCCTCCCTCAGCTTCCTTAGCCCTGCCAACAGAAGCAAAATTACATCGCCGTCCCAACTCAACGTAACGAGACCTTCGCGGAGGACACCGGACCGAGATCTCACCGCTCCTTCGGATGCCGAGCCGGGCGGCGACGCCGACCTGAACTCGCCGCATGGGAAGCAGCACCACTTGCTCCCACCAGTACTCCATCGATCTCAATCGCCGATCGAACGCACGCTTCTCTCCCCCTCCCCCTCCCCCTCCCTCCGATTTATGATGCGAGAGAAAGAGACGGTCGCTGTCTCCGACGCTTGTTGCCGACTCTTGTGCTTCTCCGCCCTCCGCGAACGTTTGTCGTCACTCGTCGGTGGTATCGCTCTTCGTGGTTGAAGTCTCGTGCGATGGACCCACGGCAGCGACCTAACGTTAGACGCTGCCGCGTGCCCACGTGCGCGTGTGCTCGCCAAGTCGGCGTGTCCCGATTGCTGCTCACCTGCTTGTGCCCAGCCAGGGATGAGTGGACACGTCACAGGGTTGGCGGCCTCGACGTCGGACGCGTCACCTGCATGATTGGTTCCTACCAATTGGTTTTCAATGATTCTTGTCCGCTGGCTCGGATGAGACAGGAGAACCCGTGGAAGTGAGGCGGTGCGTTTTGGATGTCGGTCGCCGCTGTTGACTTGCGTGGAAGGTCTCATGTTTAATGATTTTTTTGTTAAAAATAAATCTCAAAAGGCATTTAAATTGCATATATTTAAAATCTTATCCAATTTCTCTAATAAAATTGTTTACATTGTAACCTTAGATTTCCATTTTTTTTCACGCATCTTACAACTTTGTTTTCGGATCTATGCAGCTCGGTGTACCCGTTTCTCCGGCCCATTGAGGCCCAAAGAGAAGCAAGAAGGCTTCGCAACGGGGTCGGTGGTGAGGTGGGCCCTTTGGAGGACCTTAGTGGGGCCCTTTGTTGTCTGCCTCGGGCCCCGCAGCCATGTGAGTTTAGGCATCGTGATGGCTGGTGAGACGTGTCCTCGAATCGGAATCGCAACGCGAAGTAAAAGGAAACGTTCGGGAAACGAGAAAAGAATGCGAGACCTGCTTCGGTGCCGACTGAAATCATGATCAGCGGGATAAAGCTACGTGGCCAACATCGAACGGCGAGAGCTCGCGGTGATGCGCTCGAAACACCACTCTCGTCACAAAGTCGTGTCATAACGCGCTGCTGTACAAGGGTTCGAATCCCATAACGAAGACGATGGATATTAAACATCGTACATAAACGTAGAGATATTTGAAGAGGACGACTGAGCCATCGTTTCGGAGGGAGTCGGTGAGAGAGGCGAGGGAGAGTGAATGAGAGATGCCCCCGATCGCCGGTTCCTCGTCACAATCCTCCTAGCTATTGTGCTCGTGGCTCTCCCCGCTCCTCCGGCGCGCTCCCCTTCTGCTGCTCCTCCGCCTGGAAGTGGTGACCGAATCGCCGATCTCAAGGGCAAGATCGAGACCCGCGAGGTCGATAACGGGACGATGTCCAAGGCTCGTGTCTACGCCGACGTCAACGTCCTCCGGCCCAAGGACTACTGGGATTACGAATCCCTCGCCGTCCAGTGGGGGTACACGAGATATCGAAACCCTACTCAAACCCTAACCCTAATTTCTCCCTTTCTGTTTGTGTGTGATGAAAACTGTCTAGAATTATTGGCGTTATACGAATTGGATATAATTTTCGATAATTGTTTTTTTTTCTTCTGTAGATTCGAGAGTTAAGCAATCGTTTCTCATGATTTGCATAATCTTACTCCATATGCTCTAGTTCGATTAATATGTAGGTTTGTTAAGGCACACAATTTGCCAATATTTGAAACATAAACTATGGCAAAAAAAAATAGAAAAACTATGTTGAAGCAACATGAAACACAAAAATTCGAACTATCGAGCAACCGAAAGAAGTCCAAGCATGGTGTAATGCGTCCATGAGACAAGTCACTGTTGTTTTGTGGAACATGTGGCATCATGTGCTTGTTGGATGCACTTAGTGGATAAAGTAGCGCAAAATTGTTTGGGGGCTGAGGAGCGTGCTGATAGATTTCAAAAAGCAAGGCAAATGAAAATGGAAGAAACCTGTAAGAGTTTATGAGGTTTTGTTAATATTTCTCGACAAGGACTTAGAATGGAGTGATGGCTTGAACATCATATGTGATATATATATATATTTTTCCTGTGAATTTCTTTTCTGGAACTCTGGTATTTTGGTTATTTGTTGATGCTTCTGATAGTTGGCAGTTTTAGATTGTGGGCTTGAAATGCCTTCTTTGTCAAAGTAAATTTTTCGCTGGTTACCTATACATGCAAATTATTTTTTTGCTTTTATACCCATTATGTAATTATCACCTTTTGATCAATGGAGCATGTGGAAGAAAAAGCAGCAATCTATATAACTTTTATGAACAGAGCTATTTATATGTTGCTATATATTAGTAGGGTCATTCAAAGCAATTCAGTTCTCTGGTAACTTTTTTGGCATGTTCATGTTTCATAAACTCAGGGATCAAGATGACTATGAGGTTGTTCGAAAGGTTGGCAGAGGAAAATATAGTGAGGTATTTGAGGGCATAAATGTTTCCAACAATGAGCGTTGCATCATCAAGATCCTCAAGCCTGTGAAGAAAAAAAAGGTACTAATGCTGTTAATCTCGAAACTGTAATCACTTATGATATTCTGAGCTTATAAACTAGGCTAATAATTCCAGCAGCTTCATGTGTGGTTTAAGTTTTGCTTGAAATGGAAGAAACAAACTTGTGAGAGTTCTAGCTGATACTAAGGTTGATGTTGAAAAGAGCTGGATATTATTCGTTGTAGTAGAAACCAATAGGCCCTGATCAGGTCAATACAAAATTGGTTCAAATCCAACAAGATAAACAGAAGGAGATATGTCTCATTCCACTTATTTCCATTTTTCCCAGCCTCTTTTTTCTTTTTCAGTTGAAGGCTTTATAGTTAAATGCACTGTCATGAAACAACTATGAGATCACATTGCATAAGAATACATAAAAGCGAGCATATCAATTGCCTTTTACGAGTTGCCTGAATTGGTTGAAGATCTTCAAGAACATGCTGTTGAGCATGGGAGCTTAGACTAATTACATATTTTCCATGGAGTCCTGCAACAATCTTATGCAAGACTAAAGGTATCAATCAACTACACTAATTAAAGAAACAAAAAGGTCGTTGAGATGCTTAATCGATTTTCAAAATTTTTCTGAGATAATATACTCTGTGATTGTAATTTTGACTTGAAAGATGCTTTCATCTGCTCCCTTGGTGCATTCCCCTTTGAATGATATGATGATCCTTGAAGATGTTGATGGAAGAATTGACTTTAGATTTGTCGAGGAATACAACTTTCCATTGAAAAAGTTATAGAATATCCTTCTTATTCATTTTTTATTACCATACTATATTGAAATTTGATTTTTGTATTCAAACTTTAGAATGTAATCTATAGTCAAAGAAAATGTTATATATGAACACCACACTTATTTAATATTCCTTTTCTTATGAACTAAATTCTATATGTAGTGACCTTAGTTCTATGTATATTTTATCCAAATTTGTTTCTGAGCATCCATAGTATTTTTTTCTACATAATGCAACATAGCAATTCATTCAGATTAGTAAAAACTAGAATTAGTAGCATCACTTTGATTTTTTTTGAGTGAGCAATATTTTTCATCTTTTTATGGAAACAATAAATATTAAAACCTTGATGAAGTACTTGATCAAGCAAGGTATTATTTAGCAGAGATAGAACTCTTCACTTTTCTGAATATAAAAAACTTTGGTTTATTGTGTTTGCTGTTGGTCAAGACATTTCGGAAGCGTTAGAAGCTGTCAATGACTTCAGTCCATGGTAGTTCCAACAGTGTAAACAATTAACTGCAACCATTCATCTTTTCATTTCCTTGAGGCAAATGTAGTAATGTTAAGTGAAGGACTACTTTTTTGGTTGTGCCCTTGTTTCTGATATTCTGTATGAGAAAATGGAAAAATGTGCATATAAGAAACTTAGTGCCTAAGTTTCTCATGTGCAGCTACCAATTCTTATTTCTTTTTGTTCATATCTCTCTAAATCAATGTTTGCTTTGAAACTATCAGCCTTAATTTTTTCGAACAAGATATTTGTTCATGTACTTATCTAATGTGTTACCATGTGCAGTTATGTCTTATACATTTCCCTATTGTTGCAGATTAAGAGGGAGATAAAGATTCTTCAGAACCTTTGTGGCGGTCCAAATATTGTGAAATTGCTTGACATTGTCAGGGACCAGCATTCAAAAACTCCTAGCTTGATATTTGAATATGTGAACAACACAGATTTTAAAGTCCTATACCCTACATTGACTGACTATGACATTCGTTACTACATCTATGAGCTTCTTAAGGTTGTTTCCTTGTCTACTTCTCATTTTCTTTTGTGGTCCATGTTTCTGAAGTGCAAGATATAATTAAATTTAACAATACTGTTTAGTTTTATTCTCTTGTTGTGGATATAAGTCCTTCATTTCTTGGTGCTTGATCCCCAAAATATAGCTGAAAGCCTGAACTTAATATTAATGTTTGCAACACCTACTTGTAACAATTGTTTATGCATCACAACAGTAGAGGTGATGACTTTATGCATTTGATGATGATTTCCTTATATGTAATGCATACAATGAGATTGAGTTATTTAGATTTTCTGAATTTAATTATTAAATTTGCAATGCTGATCAAATATCTGGGATTGGTTTAAATTTGACCAGCTCTATGACCTTGTCCATCCTTGTACCTGTTGTGGACCTTTTGTTGTGAGTTAAAAAAAGAGACTGCTAGCTAGTTCTTTCCGATATTATATACTTTATAATGGAATGCAATTGTGATATAAACATTGTCCATCTTGTAAAAAAATCAGTTCTGACTTGGTTCCCTAAGCTATTTTTTGTTGTTTAATGAGCCACACCTTCAAAGTTCTGTACATGACTTCAAGCAGATAAGCTGATCAAGGAACAATCTCGTACCAGACCTGTAGGTCCCATGCCAAACTGGTACCTACTGCTGGTACCGATGTACTGTCAATGCATCGGTATATACTGAAGAGGAAGAAGAAGGAGAAGAGCAAGGAAGACGAGGAACCAATGCAGGAAGGGGAGGAGGAAGATGTAGGAAAAAGAGGAGGCAGTGGAGGAAGAGGAAGGAGGAAGAAGGAAGAAAGGGAGGTGGTGGAGGAAGAGGAGGAAGAAGGAGAAAGAGGAAGGAAGATGAGGAGGGGCGGTGGAGGAAGAGGAGGAAGAAGGAGAAAGAGGAAGGAAGATGAGGAGGGGCGGTGGAGGAAGAGGAGGATGAAGAGGAAGGAGGAAGTGGAAAAAAGAAGAGGATGAAGCATATCCAAGGTCAGCAGCAATGAGGGCTTATGGTGTCTTTGCATATGGAGCTGAGGGCTCACAAACTCAAGCCCTAATTTAATAGTTTTAAGGTTTTATTAGTTATGGCAGAACGGACTGCCGGAATTGGGGGTGGTCTGTGCTCTGTTCATGCTCAGATCGATAAATACCTTGTTGTTGATTGACTATAATATGCATCCACTAATATAACCTTATGCCACATAGGCTCTTAAGAATATTTTCTCATTCTTAGAGTCAATCTTATGTTTGGTAAGAAACCTTAATTATTGATAGTTGCTAATTTTCTGTTTTTTAATTACTTCAGGCACTAGATTACTGTCATTCACAAGGTATCATGCATCGAGATGTCAAGCCTCACAATGTCATGATAGATCATGAGCTTCGAAAGCTTCGGTTGATAGATTGGGGACTTGCCGAGTTCTACCATCCAGGCAAAGAGTATAATGTTCGTGTTGCATCAAGGTTAGTCTGAGACTCTTGAGTGTCAGCATATGCATAGTGTTGATGCTGTTTGCAGTTCCTATATTGTCACTAATGACTTTTACAATTCTTCTTAACTGCAAAATTTTCACCTTCACTGTTGCTGGATGTTTTTTCATCATGACGAGGCATCTTCATTAGTTACAACTCTCATAGCAATTATTCTGGTTCTGTTAGTTAGCAGTAGTACAAACAAGTAATGGAGCTTGGTAGGCTTATGAATAGCTAAACTTAGCAATTCTTCCGAGTCTATTATTCTGCAGTAATAGAAGTGTGTCCAAGTTTAATGACTGGAAATTTTCATCTTTCATGTTTTTCTCTCTTTGGATAGTTCATGGTAATAATTCATACACTTTATTCTATGGATGCTTCCTTCCTATAAATTATATAGAAATTAACAAAATTAGCCACTTCCATGCACCTAACTGAATCTGTACCTACATCTATTGACGACATTAGATAGGTCCTGAGTCATGCCAAATTATATAGCGCTATCATTGAGAAGACGGAAGTTTCTAGGCAACACTCACCAGGTTGCTAAAATACTTAATTGCTTATATAGCATTGTTGAGGAAATAAATGTCAGAAAAGCAGTTATGAATAGGTAATACTTTACAATGTGCTTTGTGCAAATCATAGGTTCTACAAATACCAATGGTGCATGATGATGCACAAATCTGTCCTTGGCTCGGGGATACAATCGTCATGGTTTTGTCTTCTGGGGTCAACTCCAAAAGACACTTTGAGGAGTGTAGCTGGCTGTTATATGACCCTTGGTTAATTGATTCCTTACAGATGTTGAATTATGGAAATCACTTAGGCTGTTGGAGAACCCACAAGTATCCTAGACCCCTGGATGGGTCATCATCCAACTGGGGAGCCCTGGTGATGCCACAGAGTCCTACATCAATCAGGAGCAGGAGAGTTGACAACTCCTCTTTCTTGAGGGTGCCTATTGTGGTGGTCCATAGAGGACAAAATTGTGTGAATTGTAGACCAAAGTGAACAAAATCTTGCGAGCTCATGGGCTTAGGCCACTAACAGATTATATAATGATGAATGTGAAAAAATATAATTTCTTGGTTTACATAAAGAGTTTCGTTGCTTGGTATTGTGGTATTATCTGAGTAATACATCAGCCAGATTGCTCTTTTGCAACTTGGGTGTCCAAGGTTCGAGGCACAAAAACTGTTCTATTATAGAGGGTAAGATTGACACTTTCAAGTTCATTCATGAACATGCACAGACCAATAGATCATGTAATTTTGTTACAGAGGAGAGGCAGAAATCACACTACTTTTCTCATGTTTACTTTTCCTTAGTTAGATGTATGTTTAGGTTTTATATGAAACTTATTTTCTCAGTTATAACTTGTAAGATTATTCTCTTCATCATCCATTTTCTTACAGCATATCTTGTGACATAGGTACTTCAAGGGGCCAGAACTACTTGTTGATTTACAGGATTATGACTACTCCTTGGACATGTGGAGCCTTGGATGCATGTTTGCTGGAATGGTATATGCTTGTGTACCCTCTAGTTTGAAGTTAATCTCTTTTTGGTACTTCATATTCATTAATTAGATTAGCTATCTGGTGTTTGTTATTGTTAATTGATACTTTTGCTATTTATCATGATCTTAAGTTTGTGATCTTTTACTTGGTTGCAGATATTTCGCAAGGAACCTTTCTTTTATGGACATGACAATCATGATCAGCTTGTAAAAATTGCGAAGGTAAATATAAGTTTCGGATATGCTAATTGTTTTTCATTGTTTTAATCTAGGTGTCACCACTTGTTCCTTGATTCAGTTTTATTATTATTGACATTTGTAAATGTAGAGAATCTAAACTGTGAAAGGAGTTCAGGATGATGACTTCTCATTACTCTTTTTCCTTAATTGAGTAACTATCTGTACTGCTGCTAAATATCAGACCGATGTCATGTTTCATTTGCTTAAGCAGCTTGCACTGTCTGCTAGCATTTTGAAGCTTAATTATCTGTAAGTAATCTTGTTATGTCAACCACATTAAGAGAACTATGTGGTGGTGATTCTCTCAGGTTCTTGGAACAGATGAGTTAAATGCTTACTTGAACAAATACCGTCTAGAGCTTGATCCACAACTTGAAGCTCTTGTTGGAAGGTATATCTTGGACTCTTTTTATTTAGGTGGTTTGAGTTAAGCAATGAAACTAAAGCGATGTTTCAGTTAAATGATTTATGGGGAGACACATAAATTGTCTCACAAGACTCATTAGCAATTTTGAAGACCTATAAAACGATTGAGAATTTTTTTCTTGCCTTATATTTTGCAGGCATAGCAGGAAACCTTGGGCTCGATTCATTAATGCAGATAACCAACATCTAGTTTCTCCAGAGGTTCTTGATTAGCACTAAAAGAATATCAGTACATGATCATTATATTTAAATTTTAGTTCGAGTATGATATCTTTCTATGATATGCATGCAGGCAATAGATTTTCTTGATAGGCTTCTTCGCTATGACCACCAGGATAGGCTTACAGCTCGAGAAGCCATGGTAACATAACATGGTTCTATTTTTAAGCATTTATTTAAAATAAATCATGCAGTAATGTTGCATAGTCTTCATATGCTGTTGCATTTTTTTTGTTTTTTGGGACCTAGTGACGGTTCAATTTGTATACTGTTATGTACAAATTCTAGTTGTTAGCCCAACATCATTCTCCGGGTAGACAGTCATACTATTTCAAGTGGTTGTACCATATCTGTTTTGGAGTATGCATCATGGGACCTCCTAGGTTTAGCTGTTTTATTATTCCCATAACTGATTCCTAGGGTATATATATGATCTCCAGTGGGATATATTCTTTGCTATTTCCTCTCGAGAAATGTCCCCATTGTTTGGTGATAAAAATATCTTTCTTTGTTTTGTCAATGTAAAAGAAATATCTTTCTTTTACAGTAGAAAAAATGGAAAAAAAAACCTCTTACATCTTTCGAGAACCTTTAGTGATCAAATCCATTGCCACATATTAATTGGCTTGTATTAATTGGCTTTTTCTTGTTGCTGTTGGCAGGCACACCCATATTTTCTTCAAGTAAGAGCTGCAGAGAACAGCAGGACTCGCACCCAGTAATATTTGGGCCTTGTCTTGTCGCAAGTGCTGGACTGTACGAATCATGGTAGATGTAATGATTCGAGAGCACTCAGCCGGAGAGTGATGCGTATTGTTGGCTAATCTTTCGGGTGATGTAGCAGATATAATCGGCTCGCAATTTGGGTTTCATCGTCCTCGTAAATAGGTGTGTGCTTAAAGCACAGAGACCGCTGTCATGGCCGTTGTGTGTGTGTGTGTGTTCATGTTTTTCTATGTCCGGTTGCGTGTACTGCTTGTGCTTAAAGCATGTGTTTGTCTGCTGTGTGTGTGTGTGTGATAGAGAGAGATTAAAGCATCAAACCAAGAGATGAAAAGCGAAACCCCACCCCAACCCCGCCCCCGCCCCGCCTCCCTTACACCATGCTCCATCTCCTGGGATGAGGGTTGTACATATATGTACAATGGTGTACATATATGGGATGAGGGTTGTTATTCGACGATCAGGTTGGAATTGATCGCCTACGTTCTTATTATCCTAATTTAATCTGACCCACCCACATTAGGTTTTGAACAGATTTGACATCACAAAAAACAAACCTTTTCTTTTTTATGGTGTGAAAGGTTTTCATGGAAGCCTCTCCTTGTCTTCTCCATCTGACCTCACCTCCACCAAAACAGCAAGTCATTGACCAAGACCACAGAGAATCTAGAAGAACCACTCCAATTAGCACGGTTGAACATTCTCCACCGTCCGATCAGAAGATTAGCAGCTTGATCCCGTCATCAAAGAGAAATGCGACTGTCCCTGATCTCCCTGTAGGCGTTACTCGCGGCCCTACCTGCTCTGTGATTGGCTTCTTCGTGGGGCCGTCCCTGCCCCCCGCTGATAAGGCAGGTCGACCGGGAAGCAACAAAAACAAGGGATTAAAGCGGAAGATGTCCGTCCCAACGGTCAAATTTCTATTTCTCCGTCTCATTTCCATTGCGTGACCGAACCGAGGCGGCTTCGCCCTCCCACATTCCCATCCGCACATAGGTGGCCGCGTTGATCCATTCAGCAACGCAAGTTCGAAGAAGAAGGTATAGTTCCTCTCGACAGACTCCACCCGCTGGATCTCCTTCCATTTGCGCGTTCGCAGCCCTCCTTTGACGTGTTCTGCGCCTGGCGGAGCGAATTCTTACCATCTTTTTAACCGCCACCACCACCTCTGCCTCCTCCTCCTCCTACTTCCGTTTCCTTCCATCGTTTTGGTTCTTGGAATCGTCCCCCTAGCGGATATCCGAGGTTTGTCGCTTTCCTCGACGTTCTTGCCATTTAGTTGAAAATGCTATGCTTTGGTTGCTGCGGATTTCTGGGGCCTTTAATCGTTTTTCCCCGTAATCGTGAAGTATTTTCGAGTACTTGCTGGTGTTCAGGGTTATACCCCTCCGGTGAGAGCTTGCTAGTCTAATCTATAGCTTACGTTAAGGTTTGCAAGTATTCCATACTTGATTTAGGGTTTCCTTTCCAAGACCTTGAACCCTCCAAATTGTTTGATGTACTGTTGCAGGAAAAAGTGTTGGATGTGGCCTCCAATACTTTAGCTTGTTTTAATTGCTTTACTGGTTACTGTTCTCTGTCTTCTTTGTTTATATTTGCTTCTTCAACTATGTTGCCTTGTCTTACCTTGTTGATGATAAAATTCACCTTCACCTTCATGTTTATCGCGTTTGTTTGGTGATTATGTTTTCCCATCTGCATCCTTGTGTTTTTGTTTCTTGTATCTTTGTTCATGGTCCGACGGCAGAAGTAATTAATTTCTTTAGCGATAGGTTCCATTGTCAAGCTTGTGATACTGCTACTGTCGAAATCTCTGTCATCTTCAATCAATTACTGATTTCACATCAAGATGAGCACGTGGAAGACTCCTCTATCAGGCAATCAGCAACAACATGCCAAACCTGGATTTTCTGGCTCCAACCCTTTTGATTCTGTTCCTGACTCCGATCGGTTTGGTGATAGCAAAGACAAAGGAAGTGGGACAACTTCCTCACAAGTCCTGCATTCCGGATTTTCTACTGCAAAAGCCAAATACAAGAATGATTTTCGTGATTCAGGGGGTATCGAGAACCAATCAGTTCAGGAACTGCAAAACTATTCTGCGTACAAGGCTGAGGAGACTACCATTAAGCTGAATGGCTGCCTTAAAATTGCTGAAGAAATTAGAGAAGGCGCTTCAAATACTCTTGTCACCTTGCATCAACAAGGTGAACAAATTACTAGGACTCATCAAGCTGTTGCGGACATCGAGCCGGACCTTAGTAGGGTATGCTTCCTTTTCCCAAATTAGTGAACACTGTTTTATTTAAACATGGTAGTTTTGTGGAAAACATTGGAGAATTTTTAGGAACAAATCATTTGGTATTTGCTTGTCAGATTACTTGTTTCTAGAAACCAGTCTCGCCACAGTTTGAATTCTTTAGGTATCCTAATCTTCAGCTAATGTCTTATCGGCGGATGTCCTTTCTGATTAATTTGTACATGTTCATTCAGGGTGAAAAACTTTTGGGAAGTCTCGGTGGATTGTTTTCCAAGAAATGGAAGCCAAAGAAAACACACAAAATAAAGGGACCTCTTTCGATTAAAGGTAAGTTAAAATAATTTGTGGGACATTTTTCTATATATTTAATTCTGATCTCATATCTTATCAACATGTCGATAGATGATTCTTCTGAAAGGAGTAGGCACCTGGAGCAAAGGCAGAGGTTGGGATTGGCAGCTCCTCTGCCTCGGTCAGAACCTCAACATTTTTCTGAACCAGCATCTGCCCTCCAGAAAGTCGAGGTACATGTTGATGCTTATCCCTTAGAACTTAAACAGTCTATTTTGTTTAACTGTAATTTAATTTCTCTATTTTACTGGCTACTGCAACAGATTGAGAAGGCAAAGCAAGACGATGTCCTTTCTGATCTGAGCAATTTGTTAGGTGAGCTGAAAAATATGGCCATCGACATGGGCTCTGAGTTTGAGAAGTAAGTTGTGACCTTTTCTATTCATGAATATTTCTGAAATTTGGTATCTTCCAAGGCCTTGAATTTTCTATAAGTTGTATCTGCTGTGCTAGGCCTTCACATGTTATCAAAACTATCATCATCAAGACAATTCCAACCTCAGTGACAAGGAGAACCTTCTCCTCTCTTGTAGGACATTAGCTGGTAATAGAGTAGTTCATGCAAAAGGCAAACCATATTTCAAATAGGGCAGTGTGCAAACACAGATGAATACTTCTTTGATCATTCTCCTTTCAAATGGAAATATCAGCAACTACAAAAAACATTTTAGGTTTCCTTCTGAAATTTGCAAGTTTGATGCATGCAGAGACCTCGACAGAAATGACTGTCGATTTTTGTTTGTGGTGCTTTAACCTTTTTTTCTTCCTATACTTATCTCATATGACCTATAAATTAGTTGCATTAGCTGGTAATAGAGTAATTCACGCAAAAAGCAAAACATATTTCAAATAAAGCATTGTGCAAACACAGATGAATACTTCTTTGATCATTCTCCTTTCAAATGGAAATATCAGCATCTACAAGAAACATTTATGTTTCCTTCTGAAATTTGGAAGTATGATGCATGCAGAGACCTCGACAGAAGTAATTGTCGACTCATGTTCGTGGTGTTTTAACCTTTTTTCCTTCGTATACTTACCTCATATGACCTATAAATTAGTTGCCTTCTGAGCACGTCCATGAATGGAGTATATATGCATCTCACCGAAGATGCCTATTGTTCGTGATGGCCACAAAATCTTTCTATTTTCTGTTTTTAAAGAATCATACAGATCAAAAAATTCATATCAAATTTAAGTTACACTTTCTGAGTTCTTTACAAAAATAAAGAGTTATGTGGATGATAGCATTATCAACACTACATTCTTCTTTTTCTTTGGGTAATTGCAGGCAGAATGTGGCTTTGGACCGGGCGCAGGATGACGTGGATGAGATGAATACCAGAGTTCACGGAGCAAACCTTCGTGGCCGTCGACTTCTTAGAAAATAGATCTTATTTTTTTACCAAACAATTTGGAATAGATCATTGGGTTTGAATGGACGATACCTGTTTTAGTGAAACATTTATGCTACTGTATTATAAATCTGAAGTGCTCAGATGCACTAGTAAATTCCTTTTTTGTTTTTTATATATGTATTCTTGAATGCACAAGAGGATATGTATTATTTCTATTACAGAGATTTTTTTCTTGTTTGTTGTGCGAATACTCTGTGCTGAATCATAAACAAAAGCTTGATATATTAGATCGCACAAATAAGATTTTAGTGTATTTTCATCCTTTAATTTTAAGACTTTAGTATCATCTGTCAAAATCTTTACCTAATTTTTAGATTACAGGTGGGAGATTAGTATCTTGAACAGATAGATGAACAAGATAAATAGGATAATTTTTTTACTATAAAATAAAATTTTATCTTGGTATATGTAAGTATAATTTTTTTAAATATTATATATTAAATTTATAATTCAATCGTTTGATTTCCTATTATTACTAGTAAATTATATATATATATGTATATATATATATACATATGTAAATATATATATATATATATATATATATGTATATGTATATATACATATACATATGCATATATATATATATGTATATATGTATATATATGTATGCATATGTATATATACATATACATATGCATATATATATATATATGTATATTTATATATACATATATGTATCGCCTTCACTTTCTCCTCGCAAGCAGCCACCTGACATCGCCCTCTTCTCCATCCGAGCCCAATGCCTTCCCCTCACCACCTCCGCCACCACCACAACCACAGCCCAACAGATCAGCGCTGTTGCTGCTGTTCTTGTTGCTGTTACAGCACCTGCTGCTCGCCCCACAACCCTTCTCCACCACCGTCTCTCACCACATCTGATCACCTCCTCCAAGCCCTCGCCACCCAACTCCTCCTCCAATCCGAATCCCAATCCCCTCCTCCCCTTCTTGACTCCCATCAACCCCTACTCAAACCCCACCAAGCCCCACCCCCACTTCATCCCCTTTTCCAAGATCACCAACATGGTCGTGCTTACCACCAGCACCATCCTCCTCCTCAGCAGCTCTATCAGCATCAAGCTTATCCTCTCATTCATTCGCTTCTCCGCCGTGTTTCCGCTCTCGAGTCCTCTTTCCCCCATCTCGCCTCCTCCGCTTCACCTCCGCCTTCTCCTCTTACAAAGCATCAACAAAGAAGACCAGTAACACCACCACCGCCACCGCCACCGCCACCGCCAACTTATTCTTATTCTTCTTCTGCTCCATCGCTTCGAGACTTGGCAGCGCGGAAAATCCAAGCCTCGTTCCGCCGCTTACTTCTTCGGAGATCCCAGACGCTCCGCCACCTCAAGGACCTCGCCGCCATGAAATCCCACGTTGCGGCGCTTAGATCCGCGCTTTCGGACAAGGCCCACGCCGACCCCAGAGCCCTCTCCGAGAGAGCCATGGATCTGCTTCTCCGATTGGATGCCGTCCAGGTGAGGTTGAGGAAAGGTTGTTCTCTTCTTGGGGTTTCTTCTCTCTGTTGCTGCGCTGATGGCTTTCCCCTTGGACCTATTTGCTTGGCTTGCAGAGCAGCGGCCCGATCGTTCGAGAAGGGTAGCGGTCGATCAGCAGGGAACTGGCCCGGATACTGGAGTTCATTGATAAGGTGTTGGTCAAAGAGCACCAGCTGTCTCTCGACGCGATTGAGATCGCCGGGAACGGTGGACAGGAAAGATCTTTTGTGGAGGATGGAAGGACTGAAAGTGAAGGAGCTGAGGAAGTTATGAGGGTTGCCAAAAAAGTGAGCTTTTTAGAAGATGGGAAGAGATCAAGGGTTTCTTTTAGCGGCTGCAACCAGTTTGTGGAGGAACTCAGCAATGCCGGTTATCAAAATGGTCAGGTGAAGAGCTTAGGTGGGAAAGCTGCAAGGAACGGGGCAAGAGATCGTATGGGATCAGAAAGGTTTTATGAGATCAGTGAAGATGAGAAGAGCTCTGAGGGTTCTGTAGAGAACAGTAGCAGAGTTGAGAAGTTCCTGAGTCGGAATGGCAGGTTGGGACTCTCTGCTCCCTTGCCTGTGCAAATGGAGCCTAGGAGAATGTAATTCAAGGGATTAGAAGGAACAAGTGAATGCATCAAAACTGATGTCATTTCAAAATGCATCAAGAGTTCATCTATTTGCCTTCTAGGAGTGACAAAGTTAGCAGTCCTTTGCCTTTCGGCAGTTGGATGAGAAGAGCTGCCTCTGTTTGGTACGTCCTTTTTAATTTTGTTGTGCTATGTTTTCTGTACTGTAGGATGCGTAGAATGATTGTCATACTGCTATTAATTTGGACTAGTTATTTAGTGGTGTGAAGATTAACATGCTTCTGATTATCTAATTTCTTGGATAGGATCTGCTTGTTTATCAGGGTTATCATTTTCTTCTTGTCATTACATTCATGTTGGCCACAGCTATCTCATCCTGGTAATTATCACAATGATTTAACGCCAGAATCAAATTGTAGTGAATTTATGTTTATAGTGACACTAGGTACTTATTGAAGAGACTGGAGACATACGGGCATCCGATTGTTCTATTATGAAATAAATGCTAGCTATGAGAAGCGATACATCGGTGGGGCACATGAATTCCGCGCGGAGCATTTAAAGTCAAACAAGTCTACCTTTAATAGTCTGAAGAAAATCAATTGTTTCATTTAGTAGCACAACTCTCTACTTTTGGCAGAAAAAACACATAAACTCAACAGTTTAGGGAAAAATCATAACCAACATACTATTAAGCTGGATATCCCGAATCTACTGGCATAACATTTAGGTCTTCTATGCTTGTCTGTTCATGAGGAACAATTTCTTCTCAGCACCAGTCAAAATATGATGTCCAGCCATGCAACTGAAAACTCTAGAATGGGGAAGCATTTCCAATAACTTATCTTTCAGTTAGCCGATCACGTACAAAAAAATTAAATTACTGCACTCAGAGAAATTTTCTCTATTATCTGCTTACTACTGGAAATATCTTATATTTCCAACTTCCAAGTGGACTGAATTGTTTGGAATACTGTACTTGACAAATTTATGAAGTCTTTCTTTTCCAATCCCCATATTCTGACCACTTGAACTGATTATGTCAGTACAAACTTCACATTGCCACATGAATATATACCTGGACTGATTAAAGTGGAGTAATAGCAGCCAAATACAAGTAAATGTGTGAATCTGTAAGGCTAGTTAATGATGCTAACACTAGACCTTGTACATTATATTAGTATGAACCTGATGCTCCTAGAGGTGGGTTTTCCTCATAATGATAATTGTAGGGTAGTAAATTGAGATTGCGAGGCGTAAAAGACAGATTTCAGAGGACTAGAAGTTAAAAGGGTATCTGATAACAAGAGGATAATCAGTCAAAACCATAATTTTCATTAAGAAAGCACCGTTTCTCAACACATCCTCAAAGACTCCTATCTGTAAAATATTGTGCTAACAAGAAGGATTCTTAATAAGAAAATTAATATTGCAATCAACTGATTTTGTTTCCTTTTGTATATTTCCATCCTTTCCCATTTATAATCTTTAAATTCTGTCATATCAAAGCTGACTTCCCAACATATTCCTACCAGTTTTTTGCTGATCTATAAAATTTGTCTAGGATTGGGAAGCTTGGCAAACAGGGCAAAATAGAGTAGAATGTGAGGCAGCTATAGAAATTTAAACACAATTTGATAAAGTAGAATGTTAAGCAGCTGATCTTAGAAGGCAGAAGGTTTGTGCCTTGTGACCTTCCAAGTCTATAATGAGTTGATGTTAGGAGCTTTCTATAAAGATGGTAGAAGATAAGCTGTCCTCATTTGATAGGTTAAAGTTGTTTCCATTGGAATCTCACTAGCAACATAAATGCTGCCCTCTACTATTGCAATTATGCTAATTGCAACAGTCTTTCATGTAGGTCAATATGCTAATTTTGCATGACTAACACCAAATGCTCTTATATGTTACTCTCGAACCAAACCTGAGAGTTAAAAACCAGGAAACAACAGATGTTTGTCATGCTGTTTCTGTCAGCCATGCAAGATTAGCATGATTTGACTAATCATTTTATTTTTACCTATATATATATATATATATATATATATATATATATATATATGAGACACAAACCATAACCTGAATCCCCACCTTTAGGGAGCCATCCTCCCAAACACAACAAAGTGACCCCATGACTTCACAACCCACCAAGCTCATGGCATGAGCTTTATGATCAAGTACAAGTGATCACAGAGGTGATTCCACCCTCCTGTAGTGCCCAACACAGACTTTGGTGTCATTCTTGAGTGGGACTGTTATAAATGGCAAGGCCCCATGCGTTGGTATTTTTGGGACCCTGGCATTAATTTGAAAGCTCATCTGCTCATGGGTCTCTTGTTATTGCTTTTAAGATCCACCACCCCCCTCTCTTCTCTTCATTTCCCTTCCTCTCTTGGAGCTCTCCAACTCTTCCCTCAATGGAATATGGTCATTGAGAGCCATGAAGTGTTCTTTCTTCTCTTCTGCAACTCCTCAGGCCCTTATCTTTGTTGCCATCTTCCTCTCTTTGATAACATGGGCACCTTCAGATGAATCCTTGTCGGTCCATCTTCGTGGTTGCCATCGCTACCCTCACCACTACCAATACCATCACCGTGCAGAGAGCTCCTGGTGGTCTCATGGGCCACCTGTGCGGTGCCACCAATTCCCACTAGGTGAGCTTCAGCCTCCTCCACAGCCGCCCTCTTCCTGGGAGGAGATAGATCCTAGATATGGAGTCCAGAAGCGGCTCATCCCGACTGGTCCAAACCCCCTCCACAACTGAAGAGAAGCGGCAGAAACTAGCTCATGGATACTCCTTGCTGCAATAGTCCTTTTGTTGCAGGTATAGTAAGTTTGGCAGGCACTTTCATCCTCTCTTGTTCTTTCTTTCCCAATTTCTTGATGTGTTTTCTTGGAGCACATGGTCTTCCTTGTTGCTCATCATGTTGTATCCTTGGTGAAAGAAATCACAATGGGGGATGTCATTTTAAACTAATAATATTGTCCAAATCTCTCTCTCTCTCTCTCTCTCTTCCTCCTTGTGTGTAGGTTAAATTTTTGTTACATTTATATTGGTCTCGATCTATACATATTTTCTGTAACTTATTTGAATGATTGAGGCCAAGCGCTTACTAAATGGGATGACGGTAGGCATGCATCTCCGTTTACAATTGCATTATTCTTGTGGTGTGCGTTGGTGATGGTTACAAGCATTTATAACACGCTGTTCTTTCCTTCTCATTCATTTATGGGGTTCTGTTGCGTGGTTGGATGGATGTTGATTGCTCTTTGGTTTCTTGTTGGCTTTCACTACTGGTTATTTGTGGAACTAACCATTTCATCCTTAAAGAAAGCTTGAGAGGTGATTGCACTGTCCTTGAATGGATTTCTGAGACCGATGTTATGGATCTTACTAACCATTTCATCCTTTAAGAAAGCTTGGGAGGGTGATTGCACTGTAAAATGGATTTCTGAGACTGATGTTATGGATCCTCATTTGATCTCATTCGAGGAGTTTTGTCAGACAGATCCGAAACATCAACATCCAGAGTGTTCCACTCCATTCCATCATCAACTGATCCAGTGAGCTTTTGCAGAGTCAACAAAGATGAGGGGGTCTGAACAAAACAATCAGCTTCTTAATTGTCAGTCACACTACTACCAATTGCTTAAAAGTAATCAAATGGGTAAGAAAATTATAAAATGTTCATCAATATGTGGTTGTGGTTGGTTGATCCAACACTCTTTTTTCTTTCTCATAAAAAAAATAAAGTTACATGATTTCCTCTCATATCAAATATCTTTGTTATCTACATGATCGAACAATTTTTCATTATATCTTTGATGAAGCTCAATTTTTATTTGGGATGTAACAGAGATATACAACATATATTCTTGTTTGAAGACAAATATATTTGAACTTATTGAAATAACATCATGCTAATTTATAACTATATATGTATATATTTGTAAGAATTCGCTTACACCTATCAATTAACTCAATTAAAAAAAATCTTGGAATCGTTAGTAACATAAGCTTCCTCCCTCCCATTTATGGTTGATGTCTCGATTAGTTCGACATGGATGAGAAGAAAACTTTCAATTGTTTGCTTCGAACCTTCGTAGATAGATAAGTGGAGGGTGATCTGGGTCTCACGTGACATCTTCCCGTGTCGATAGATGATGATGGTGTATTACCTATCATTGCCCAACTAGTTTTCCTCTAAGTTGAACTTATGTTAATTGTGATAATAATTCAAATGCTGTAACTGTGAATAGACTAAATACAATGATAGACAAATAGGCATCCCATAAGAGTAAGAGCTTGTTCTCTATCATCATTTCTTTTGCAAACACTACAAATAGGATATGCAGATGATCTCCCCCAAGAACAGAGATAATATATCATAATCATCATTTCAATTCAATGGCTGATAGAGTCTGACCTCATTAATGTTTTCCAATTCAATTCAATGCACCTCCACATATTAATAAGATTCACATGTAGCTGATCCCCCTTCCCATAATAATTAATATTCAGCACTCCATAATTTCCTCCTCCTCTGTCACATGTTACCATCATGTGGGTTTCAATGCACCACACCAAATCAATTTTCTCCTTATGTTTCTCCCATTCTTTGTAGAATAATATTATTCCTAATGTTTTTTTTTTTAGCAACTTTCAATTGCTTTGCTTGCTGTCCTATCCACAAAATCTAAGAGAACCACCACACTTTATTTGATATAATTCATATGTATATTTTGCTTCTTCATATGTAAGATGATAATTCATATGTATATATTGCTTCTGTAGTTGCAGACAAGTCTCCCAATGGAATGTGTGTGTGTGTGTGCTCAGTAAGCTACTGGTAACATTACACATCATTAGGCCCAAATCCAATCATCTTCCTCCCACACCAATCACCCTCTGGTCAAACCTCCAATCCCTTTAATTGCTCTCTAACATCAGACTCCCTCCCTTCCTCCCCCTCCTTCCCCCGTTTGTTTTCCCCCACTCTCCGTTCTCTCCTCTTTCCATCTTCCCCGTTCCGTAGAGCAAGAAATCCTTCTATTGTGGTGGCACCAACAACTCTCTCTTCTTTTCCTTTCTCGAACACCAAAGACCTCAAAAGCTCGATCTTTGCCCATCGATACAGCTTTGATTGCGAGTTCAAATCCGAAACCTACTCCAATTTCTTTCCTTTCCTTCTGATTCCCATTGGAAACCCGATGCCGGATCATGAAACGCTTCCAAAGTCCGGTCTTGTAGCTGCCGGTACCTCTGCTCCGCCGATTTGGTAGCATGCCCCTTTGCTCGGAGCCATCGGCGGGCCAGAGTCT